GGTTGGTATTGAAACAAAAGTCGTAAAGAAACTTTAAACCGCTCTCCTGAAAAATATCAAAAAATGAGTTACGCCACTTCGTGATAATGACGACGATTTGTTGTACGACGCATGAGTTTTGCAGCTCGAGACGAAGTTGAAAGCTGCAATCATGCTGAGTGCAACAAATATGCTTTTTGCACACAACATTTTTTCTACGATCGAATTCTTATTTAAATGTTTATTAAAAGTTTTTACAGTAATTCACAGAATAATATTACCACTAATAACACTATAAAAAAATATTAAGTCTTTTTCCTTTCACTAGTCTTTTGAATTTTATTTTCATTTTTGCTCGTGGAGATCTCAGGTTCTTGTTCTTCACTTATAACTCTTTTCCAGAATGAAAAGTTCCCAGTATTGGTATGTACTTGGTTTACCTTCCAAAATTTCACATATTTTTACAAAAATTTTCCTCTCTTTAGTTAAACTCGTCATTAATAATGTTAAGGTGTTTTTGCACTAGTGTAAAAAATTTGACATTTAATACAGTAGATCGTGCAAAAAATAGCTACTTTTGCACGATCGTAGAAAAAAGTCACTTCTACACCGAATACAACATGCTATTATTTTCAAACGTCACAAATAATTTTTAAACATTCCAAATAATATAAAAAATCTCCTTACATTATCTTTTCACTCAATCATTTAGAGGGGTGTGTTTGTTTTGGATACTTCGTAACCATTATTTTTCGAAAATGGCAATTTTCTAAGAGCCATTTTTGTTTTTATATCCCTTTCTAGATTTACTGCTTACTATGCATTAGCACTTCAGAAAGTAAGTATACCCTTTTAGTACAACTAAGGGTCCCATTTTAAGGAAAGCCATATTTTTGAGAGGATTTTTAGTGCATATTTTTTGTACTTTAGAATACGACACAAATATTCTCATGTCCTCTAATTTTTTTACGTAGCTAGTAGAGAAGATCTAGAGAAATGACTAGCAAAACATTTAGCTTTACAACAAAACTGTCGTTTTGCCCACAATGAAAGATATAAGTAAATTTATATAAAATAATATAGATATATTACAGATTGCAGCAGCTTTAATAAGAAACTTTTAAAAATGTTATAGTTTTACATATTAGTTTCACAAAACAATATAATTTTACAGAATGGTTTAGAGATTTTTAATGATTATTACCAAATATGATATTTTCAAATGTTGTTTGGAAATTAAATTTAAAAAAATTTTGCAGAAAAATTTAACTTATCATTAAACAAGTAGTAAATATAATACTGTAACTGATAAAACTGCGGGAAAAACTTGTAGTGTAAGCTATTTTTTAATCAGTCTTACCTGACAGTGACAAAAAGAACCTAGTACGCATAATAATTATAGGTGTCATCACTGGAAACTGCCCCACGGGGGTAAACCTCGTGAGATGGAAGATTTCCAATAACGACTACTACAGAGAATGCGGAGAGGATGAAGAAACCATAAAGCACCTGCTGTGCCACAGTCCGGCACTGGCATACCAATGCTTAGGGAAACTTATACACTTTAGAGAAAGGGATTTTTGGAGGGACTAGAGAAGCAGCAGAAGCCAACATCAGCGACACCGAGAACTTTGTGAATATCTGGAAGTGGTTTAACACGAAGAAATAATCAGAGGAAGGTTTGGTACAATAATACAGGGGTATCACAACACACCCAAAGCCTCCAAATGAGGGAACAAACATGATCCCAAATCTAAGCAAGCTAACCCCGATGACTAAGTTCCCGACTAACTTCCCGATATCGCTCATGTTGGCTTCTGCTGCTTTCTCTAGTCCCTCCAAAAAACATTGGCCTAAAGTTTTAAAGCGCTGGTTAGGTTAGGTTATTCCAGTGCCGGCAGTGGCACAGCAGGTGCTCTATGGTTTCTTCATCCTCTCCGCATTCTCTGCAGGAAACGTCGTTGGAAATCTTCCATCTCACGAGGTTTACACCCGTGGGGCAGTTTCCAGTGATGACACCTATAATCTATAATTATCCATAGGTTCTTTTTGTGCTCTAGTAGTTGTTTTGTCTTTTTGCTATCACTGGCCACAGTCTTCGAGCTGTAGCGCAGTCCTCACGGTCTTGCCATGTCTCTTGCTGCTTGGCCTTGATGATAGTTCCTACAGCTTCCTTCAGTGTGTTGATCGTCACAAGTGGTGGGTTATCTGCCACGGTTATCTGCCTCTCTCTTTGGCGAGTCTGTCTGCTTCTTGGTAATGATACTAATGATACTACCTATAAGAAACTTTTAAACATCTTTAAAAAATATAAAGGGTATGAATTATTAATAAAACGCAATTTTAATAATATTTACATATTTTATTATATCACAGTAAAAATACTCACATTTTACATACACTAATTTACTTCCTATTGATATGAGACGTTTGGCCTCTGGGATTATCATTATTTGGCTAACTAAAATAATTCTTTATTCATCTTGATATTAGCTATTCATCTACGAAACGACTAAATTGTATCTATCGTCATCACATGATAACAGGGATTCAAGACTTTCGAATTTAAATTTTTTCTTGGGGCTGTACAAAATATAGAGATTCTTATTATATTCTTATTTTAGTTGAATCTAGTAGATAATAATTATAAAATCATTTATAAAAATAAAAGAAAGAGTTATATTTGCAACATCATATGAAACCAGTCACGTGAGGTTTTGTTTCCCATATTTTTGGAAGAACTTATAATATTAGACAGTTAAAGGGCACTGCACAAAACATATAAAGGACGTTTACTGGATCACAAAAAATGTGTTTATTTTTTTAAAGTTTGATGCTCTCTAGCGGACAAACGAAGCACTTTTGTATAGAGGAAAACTGTGTCCACAGAACGTATTTTGATTCCAAAAATATGTAGTACTTCTATGTCAACGGAATATTGAGACACCCTGTATACGCGCGGCAGAGACGACGAGAATGTCACCGCAAAACACACTACGCCCATTCATTACATTGGCTACTTGCAAATTTGCCGAATTTTTATTGCGGCGGCGCGTCATTTATTTTTTTACGAGAAACTTCGATTAAAACGGTAGTAGACTGAGCTTGGAGAACAGTGCAGTCGTTATCGGTAAGGTAGTTGCGTGATTTCATTGATTTTTTATTGTTTTTATTCTTAAATAGGTCCATTTTCTGTTAACTGAAATAAGTAGCCAAGTTGTTTGTTGGTCTAAATTTGTAGGTTTGGTGTTTCAATCGGGTGAAATCAAAAGTATCCGTAAACGCAAGTGAATTTCTCACTGCGCGAGCGTACATGTCAAACGATACGTCTCTGGCCGTGCTTTAACTGTCTATTGATAAAGCTAAAAAGATTTACTTTCTTTTTGTATTTGTAGAACCTGCTACAATTAATTTAATCTAATGTTTTTTCTATATAACATATTCCTCTAATAGTTTATACAGTTACATGCCATTTCATGTTTTTAAATAGAAGAACATAATATATATTAATATATGTATGCAATAAATAGTTGTATATCTAACATACAAACATTGAAAACTTAAAAACAGACCTCAAATTTACAAATAGGAGATGATTTTATTTATGTGTATCAAAATTATTACAAATAATTTATGACATATTTGATGTTCATTAATTTGATTTGTTATTGTCAACTTCACCTTAATGGCGATATTGATAATATAAATAAATTCAAACATCAGTAACAAAACAAGCTGAACAAATATTTAAAAATTAATCCTTATAGTTTATAAATATACTTTAGATACAAATTGGATTTATAAATCCACTGGAAGTATTATTATAAATTAATCAGTTTTCTTGTTGTAAATGCAAAAGTGTCTTATTTTATAGTGCACTCTGTATATACAGGGTGAGTCTTAAATAAGTAAAAATATTTTCAGGGCTGGTAGATTTCGATAAAAGAAACATACATATTTCCTCTTTACCGGCGTTTTTTCCGTACGCAAATTATCTGAGAGTCTAAACGTCTGAGCGATCCTTAAACTGAGATTTTAGTGTCAAAATACCGTTTAATCACCCTGTATACCTTAAAAAATATATATTTGAAATATGGCATTACCATTGTCCATATATTATGTAAAAAAATTAAGTCAAAACCTCATCCTCATAATCGAGTTTTCTCGAAACTGTAGACCACCCTGTGTAGTACGCACATAAATAATACATCCAGCGGAGATTTAGTCACACCAAATAATAATTATTTGCATACAATAAAAGCGTATCGAATAAATAATTAGGATATTCCATTCTCATATTGGATGTATAACATCAACGCACATTAAATGTGTTTACCTTGCTAATAAACGCGATAAAAAAACACGAACAAAAATAAATTAGCGTATAACAAGCCGACCACTTTGGTGTCGTCATTACAAAAATATTTTTCTAATTTTATATAGTAACCGGAGATATAGAGATAGGGGGAATAAGCAACGTGAAATAAAGTAGCCGGATAGTTTTGATTTCTGCCGCACCGAGCGCTGCTGTAGGAATTTTAGGAAATTAATTTAAATGCACCAACCAATGACTAAAGAATCCAAGGACAAATAACACCCGAGAACAAATTGTGCCGATGTCACCAAACAATGCCGTGGTACATATTTTTCTTAACCAAGCTGTTTGAAGCAATCTTTATATTTTTTGATAATTGTTTTGACTACGTCTATGGTGTATCATACTAATTAATTACGAATAAAACGTATTAATATGTTAACAAGAGGTACAAAACTAGTATCGACGTATAGCACATATCAAGTACATTTAGATGTTAATTGAAATTGAAGAATAATTATCGAATTCAATAAGAAAACGCTAAAAAGTTGGAGTGGACTGTTTATTTACATATGAAACGTAATTCCTGGCTCTTTCTTATCGCTGCTGCTTTTACACTTCTTGAAAGCCGAACAACTAATCACCATTGTAATAAAGTTTATACAAAGTTTACTACACACAAACTATTAAAAATCGCTAAAATTGTCGCTGGTGACCAAATAATGACTCATTGTTTGCCATCAAAAGAATGGCCTCTAAGGTCACAAATTCTGCTGCAGCCCGTATATGGGCGTTACATCTCCTTATATTCTTTAGTCGTTGGCACCAACAGTATACATTTAAGCGCGAACATATGGCAATAATTAGAATTTCGGCGCATGTTCAAGCTTATTCTCGCTATCTTTCTATATATCTGATAGAAACGCTATTTAAGCGTGGTCGAAAGTGGTCTGTGGTCATTTACCATTTTACCATACTTCGCACTTGTTTTTCGGGTTCATTTTCGAATCAACTTTGCAGTTGAACTCGTCACTGAACTCCTTCAAATTACTCACGGCTCCGATGACTCGGAACTTGGCTGGGGAATGGGAGTCCTTTTCGAGTTCGAGGTTGGTCGATTCTTTGGTAAATGCAGAGCACCACACCTGTAAACAAAACGGTTGATTTCAGTGGAAAACAACAACGGAGATCATACACAAAAATTTTTAATATAAAAAATGGATTCCTTGAAAAAAAAATATATTTTATTAAAACTCTATACAGAGTGTCCCAATATTCCGAGGACATAGAACTACTACGTATTTTTGGAATCAAAAACTAATAACTTCATTGCATACAATTTACCTCTACAAAATTGCTTCGTTTGTCCATTAGAGGGCAACTAAAAAAACACTTTTACAGATATTTCATGAACCGTTATTCCGATTTAAATGAAATTTTGGGTGTCTATGTTCTTTAACATTTGACTTTCACAAATATCAAAAAAACGTACAAGAAGGATGAAATCTACCCCCATCGCTACACAAATATTAGTATAAATATTTTCCAACTCAACCGACGCGACGACTGATTTTTTTCTAGTATTTACTACGTTTTTTGACTCTTGTAAAAAACGCCACCGCGCATACTTTTTGAGGAAAAAAATATTTTTCTGAAGCTGCTTTAAAAAAAATGTTTTTTATCACATCAAGCTATGGAGGCGCATAAAATCTATGATGCTCTAATAATCTAGTTGGCGAAAATATGGAATTTTATGTTAGTACCACAAATTATATTTGACAATAAGCTTCATAAGAAGCTTAAAAAAATTAGTTTACGTTCGGGTTTATTTTTTATTGATATTGATGCCTTCTAACGGATAAACGAAGTACTTTTGTATAAAGATAAATTATGTGCAATTAACTTTTATTTAGATTCCAAAAATACGTAGTTCTTCTATGTCTCCCGAATATTGGAACTCCCTGTATATTTGGTAAGTCTGCTATGGAAAAATAAATTCTCCAATTTTTTTTTCTCAAAAACTATGCGATGTGACGTTTTTTTACAAGAGACAAAAAATGTAGTAAATGCTAATCTAAACATTTGACGAAAAGAAAATCTGTCGTCGCGTCGCGTCGGTGGAGGTGGAAAATATTTACACTAAAATTTATGTAGCGTGAAAACTACACGTACAGTTTTCACCCTTTTTGTGCAAGTTAAATGTTAAAGCATTTAGCATAACATTTTCACCCAAAATCTCATTCAAATCTAATTTTAACGATCCATCTAAAAATCCATTCTAAACGATTAGATTTTTGCAAATTATAAGTTTTGAGTTTGTCGAAGGATTATTAAAGGCACAATTTAAAAATATTTTTACAAGATACAAAGTGTCCCAAATATATAAAAAATATCAAAGTTGTATTTTTTTAAAAGGAACACCCTGTATATTATTACATTTTTAGTTTCTACGATTAAAATAAAGGTAAATTTGATTAAGGTTTACCACATTTTAATCTTACCGTCAAAATACAGTAGTAATTTTAATGCTTCATTTCTCTAGGCCTATTTAAGTTTTTAAAGACTGTCTAAAAAATTATTTTAATAATTACTAGCTTTAAACGGTAATAACTTGTTTAATTTAAATGGAACACCCTGTATATTTTATGAGAATCAAATGCATAATTTAATTGTCTATCAAATTGTATTAAACCATTTTTTACCTATCTCTTCAAGTTTTTGTAGAAAATGCATTTTCTTATAATTTAGACTTCAATTATCAATATACCCATGGAATATTGACATTTTAGATTATTTTTAAAGACGTAACAAATTTTTAAAGAGTATATATGATAATATTGTCAATATAGTTCGTTTATTTCATTAAAAAATAAAAAAAAAATTGTTTAAATATTTGGTAATGAGGACTAATTAATATGATTCCAGAAATTCAAACTACATTAATTGACTGTTTGCGTTGATTAATAATAATTGCTCCAAATACTAAAAAACTGAATTTTGTATGTGTTTCGACAGAGTGGTAAAAAGTTAACCTTAAAAATTTTATTTCATTTTTTGACGAATATTTATTTATAACAATAGAGACGTTCATTTTCATAACTTATTATTATATTGATTTCTGATTCAAATCCACATTTATTTAGAATAATTTATTAACTAACACAATTAAGTATGTAATTAATTAATATCTGGGTGGAAATGATGATGGTATATTTAATTAATGATATACTCTTTTATAAAGATTTAAATAGATTTTTTTGTATACAAATGGTCTAGTAATATTATCGTTTTTACCACCTGTACATTTTGTACATTTGTTGCTTTGAAAACAATCTAAAATGTCAATATTCCAAGGGTATATCCACATGAGGTCTAAATTATAAGAAAATGTATTTCCTACGAAAATTTGAAGGGATAGGTAAAAAATAGCATGCTACAATTTGATAGACAATTAAAGTGTACATCTGATTCTCCTAAATTATACAGGGTGTTCCATTTAGCAAGCATTTTTTTAAAATAAATTTTTAGACACTCTGTATGAGGTAGTATTATTTTTATTATTACAACACAATAACTGATCGATAATTAAACTTCAGTAGATATTTGGTATTAAAAACTTTGATACCCTTGGAGAAATGAAGCCTTAAAATTTTTACCGCAATTTCACAAAATTGAAAATATTTCAAAAACGGTAAGGTTTAAGTGTGATAAACCTTAATCAAATTTACCTTTATTTTAATCGTAAAAACTAAATATGTAATAATATACAGGGTGTTCCATTTAAAAAAATAAAACTTTGATATTTTTTATTTATTTGGGACACTCTGTATCTTATAAAAATATTTTTAAATTGTACCTCTAATAGTCATTCAACGAATCCAAAACTTACAATTTGTAAAAATCTAATCGTTTAGCTCCAATACTCCGTGTCATATGTGGTGAACAACCCTGTATATCGTATTTTTTTTTAAATTTGATGGTCTCTAGGGGACAAACGATGCACTTTTGTATGGAGGTAAATTGTGTTCAATGAACTTATTTTGATTTCAAAAATACATAGTAATTCTATGTCCACAGAATATTGGGACACCATATCATACAGTTTATATGACAAAATGGTGAATGCGCCGTTCATAAAAATTAAGAATTTTCTCTAATACAAAATTAAGAGTAAGATTCCAATAAGTTAATTTGTGGTAAAGGCACAGGTATGTGATAAATCAATATATTTTAACAAACTTCAAAAGTTAACTTCGAGTATTATACAGATTACTCATTTACTTTACCGGGTGTTCTTCAGAAGCGGCTCACCCCTATAACTTTTTTTTAGATAAAAATACGAGATTTGGTAAGATATTATATGACATACTAGTTTGACCAGCGGATCTGAAGCTACGGAAGGAATGCGAGAAAAAAAAATCGATATTGCCACGTTTATCTATAAAATTGCCAAATTGCCAGACATGAACTATAAATTTAATATATTTTTATTATATATAATGTGTTTAGCATATATTCTGACGTATATTATTAAGGAATTTTAACGTAGTTCATATTGTTCGATATGTTTTATTTAATAACTTATTTCTTTCATTCTGTATAATCTGCTTATTATGAAAGTTGAAGATTTTTTAACGACTATCATTAGCAAACCAACATCGCCGCATGGCCACCTATTCATTGAACATGATTGGCCACAGTACGTCACAGGATTTGTTACCACGCGATTTGCCATGGCTTTTTTACGCCTTTTCTATTCGCTTGCTTTATCCCCAACTTCACAGTCTCTTCTGAAAAGAGTGAATATTGAATACTATTGAAATATCCAGTGGCGAGACAATTTTTTGATCATTATTACTTTTATTTCATTATTTTATACCGGTTATCCTAAACTTTATTCCTATATTTTTCGTATATTTGATAGTTAGGTTGTGTTTTATTATTTGTTATAATGTTTTTCGTTCTAAGCCGTTTTTTAATTATTAATATCAAGTTTGATGTATATTTGTGTTTTAAAATAGATAAATTTATTGAGGGTAAGATGCTACATAGTCAGACAAGAGAAATAATAGCTAATTTATATAGGTAAGTTAATAATAACGTGGATGAAATCTCATTTGGTTTATTTCCTTGTGTTCATAATAGGGGTTTGCGATGAAGAAGCTGGAGAGTTCGCTTTGGTTGCCCGCTTAAACGTAAGCAGGCGAGGATATTTTTTATACCGGAGTTAGCGTATCGGCTATAAAAGATTCACACAGAAGATAAAAAGGCTGAAAACTAACCCCCGATAAAATGATATCCAGCTCTGGAAAGAAACGACCACGTGAGACTGCTGTCGAAAACTCGACGACTTTTTCGAAGTGGTCAGAATTAGAAAGCTTTTGCAAAATTGCAGAAAAATCGAATTTTCCTTTTTGCAGGAAACGCTTAAGGGTTATTAAAAATCAAATGAATTTTTTGGCGTAAATGTCAAATAACAGATAAATATTAATGGAGCGGCCCATTATATTGCAGAGAGAGATATAAATATATACGCGAAATTCGAAAATATAGCCAAGTATTATCTATTTGGATCAAACATATGGGTAGACAATGACCTAACCTTTAAAAACTGCTGGCGGAGCGATACAATATCTGGTGTAATAGGCAATATTGGATCTACTGGTGAGTAAAATTATATGTTTGCGCTTCCAAAGTTAACTATTTTCAAGATTTTTTTGCTGGAAATAGTTATATCTATAATTATGTATTATAGAAAAAAATATAGTTAGTACAGATATATAAATAAATATACCTCAAGACTCAGTCTTGATCATCTGCTGAAGGCAGACATGGTTAGCGAAACATGCGTCCAGTGTAAAATTAAAAGTGTTTTGGTGTATTGTACTGATTTAGTGTTTTATTTTGCTGTGTAACACCAAAGGTTCCAACCCCCAGCTGTAATTATTTCTTCTATTACATTAACAACACAATAATAAAATGATTCAAAATATTTAAGGGAGCTTTAATAAAAGCTTTTAGTGTTTATCTACTAACTCAACAGTAACGATTCAAACAGCATAAAGTTTTTTGAAAAACTCAGATTAATACTGAGTATTATATTTATGATACACATTATTTTCATATAACACCGTACGCCCATGCCTATTTTATGAATGAAATTGGGCGTGTTTTGTTTACAACTACATTCCCCTGCCGATACCCCGTAGCTACAGATCCGTTGGTCACACTATAAATAGGGATTGATTAAAATCTGAATCAGGAAGTGAACAAATTAGTTTTGTTCACTTCCTGTTTCACCGGAAATGACTACAACTTTTAATTTTTTAATGGTCGTTTTTTTTACTTTATTTGACAAAAAATTGCATTTTGAATAGAATGACAAATCATATATCAACTATTAACATTTTCACTTAAAAAAATTCTTAAATTTCAATCTAGAGTGTGGACCAAATTATTCGTAATAAAGGTTTTTTCCAAATATGCTAATGAGCTACCCTCGTTCCATTAAAACCATTTAAAAAAAGTACCATATAATCGAGTAACACCGGCGTCAGCAATGGCTATGAAATGACAATCGATGACATGTCCCATATAATTTTATATATAAAATGACAGCGATCTTCATTTCATAGCCATCTCTTGACGCCGTTTTTATTCGATCATACAGTCTTATGATTTAAAATACGATTTGGGCATCTTTTAACCGACCAGGAAAAGACACTAAAAACACTAGACGATCAAATCTATTTTTGCAAGGCTCTTTAATTAAAAATTAACGGTTTTACCACAGGCACTACAGATTGAAATTTAAAATGCAATTTTTTTAATTGAAAATGTCAAAAGTTGACATATGTCATTCTACACAGAATGCAATTTCAAGCGAAAATGTTAGAGCTTGACATATATGATATGTTAATATACAGGGTGGGGTCCGAACTGTATTCCGGAAACTTCGGTAGCATATTGTGCAGATAAAAATAAGTAAAAAAGTTCGTATAAATGTATGTCCTAAAATACTTAGTTTCGGAGATACAGGGTGTAGAAGTTTCATTTTTATTTCGATTTTTTCTAAATAACTTCTGAAGTAACGTCAATAATTGGATGAAAATTGGTGTCTGGGAGTTTTGTGACACGAGAAATTTGATTTTGATGTCAAAATGACTCCTATTTGTAGGGGGCGCCCCACAATTAAACGTGAATGTTTTGTAAGCTATAAAAATATAAACATTGATTAGATTTGTTTATTTATTATTGATCTGTTTTAATATTGGGCCTGCAAATCTTCACTGGAGCTGTCTAACGAGTTTAACAGTTTATTAATAAAAGGGGTCCGGTGAACTATCCTGACACACGATTTTTGCATTTTTTTTTTTTATCAAAAAGTAACCATTTTTAGTAGTAGTTTTAAACAAAAATAAATAGAGATTATGCACAGAATTTTAAAATATTATAATTTAATTTTCGTAGTTTTTGACACATATTTGACGTTATGGAGAATTTTAACACTTGATTTAACATGACAGCGACAAAAGGAAAAGCAATGTTGCCAGTTCCACTAAATTTTCTTTTTCTGTTTTTTATTTTTATTTTGAAAAAAATTTTAATAATAAAAATGCGTTGGTAATGTGTGAATGGGAAAACTAAAAAAAACAACAGAAGTGTGAAACAAAAGCAACCAAAACACGTTTACGCGTGTTTTGGTGGCTTTTGTTTCGCTCTTGTTTAAACCACCAAGATATCAATCAAACAGATAAAAAAAACAGCCAAATCAACGCAAACCAACCCGACCAAGCCCTAACCAACCCATACAAAACCAAACCGACCAATACCAAATCAACTCAACCCGAACCAAACACAAACCAAAGAAACGAAAACACGCTTACAGCGTGTTTTCTTTGCTTTGGTCGCTTCCAGATTATAGCGTGTTTTCATTGCTAGAGCTATAACTTTTTATTGTTAATCTAAGGCTATAACTAAAGCAATTGTCTCGCCGGCGCGGTAATTTATAGCGATGGGAACTATCGAATGAATTAAACTATCGAATGGTTACTGAATGAATGATTTCAACTATCGAATGGTTTTATTCGAATAAAATCATTCATTCATTTGTATACTAAAGCATAGCTAGCGACAGCAACCTCTACGTGCGACTAAATCGTTATCGTTGAGCCACGACTATCGAAAATGCTTTTGATAAATGAAATTTAGTATTCGTTTGATTTTTGTGTGCGTCAGTGCATTATTAGTTCTTCCAAATTTTTATAATTTCACCTTATAAATACTGTGCTATAAAATATTTAAAATACTAAAATAGTAGTTTTTTTAATTGACGATTGTGTGCGTGTGCAGGTGCCAAAATTTTTCCGAAAATTTGTGTGATTTTCCGTAGCCCGATCTTTCACTTATTTTATTTTATATGGTATATCTATATGGTCTATTTTTAATGGGAAATTTTGAGAAGTAGCAATTTTTAAGAGAGATGAGATGAACTTAGAATTAATTTTAAAAATACATATTTGTATTTTAGATGTTTTAATAATATGAAATAGTTGAACTTAATAATCATATTTAAGTAATGTGGTTAAGTAAATGGTTATCGAACTCAAACTATGGGGTGAGAAAATTAAATTTTTGCTATTACGTAAAATAATGTTTATATTAAATTATTTTAAATTTTGTTGTTAATAGGAATAACAAATTATTACTGTTATTATTATTTTTATTAAACCAGTCTTTGCTTAAAAACATTAAAAATAATTTTCTTACATCCAAAATAACAAGTATTATTGCAGTGTAACAACAGAATATTAATAAAAAAAAATGCAGAATATATAGACATACTATCCCTAACTAACTAAAGCCAAACAATAATATTCTTTGCTAATATCAACTAATATGCTATGAAATGTATATACCAATACCATATATACCAATATATGGCAACAGCGCCCTTCATAATATATTTTCTGTGTAAATACTAGCACCTCAATAAAAAAAATAATGTGTCCTTATCTTTATATGACTCCGCAAAAAATCAAAGATGCCGGCTTCTTTCATAGCAATGCTACCGACCGCTGTCGGGTTTCTCGAAGAAACCGTCTCCGGGCGACAACTAAAAAACAGCCAAATCAACGCAAACCAACCCGACCAAGCCCTAACCAACCCATACAAAACCAACTTCAATACAAAAACCAAAACCGACCAATACCAAATCAACTCAACCCGAGTTAAACACAAACCAAAGAAGCAAAAACACGCTTACAGCGTGTTTTCTTTTGCTTTGGTCGCTTCCAGCTTACAGCGTTGTTTTATCATTGCTAGAGCTATAACTATAGCAATTGTCTCTGCCGGCGCGGTAATTTAGCCAATTTGATAAACTAAAGTAATCTAATTCGTATTAAAAAAAATAAAACCTATGACGTCATTTTGTTTTCCCTAAACAAAATAGATGCATGAAATTCCGCATAATTTACTAGCTGATCTGACAACCATGTATCAATTTGTCAAATTCGACCTTCACTAAAGCGTAAACATAGAAACGGATATAAACAAGTTGTAAACAAGCCCGCGACCATAGACTAATGTCACGTACTAGACCTGCGACTCTTTCGTTATCGGTTATGAAATTTGCCCTGGAATTTGCTATAAAAATCAAATATCAATATTTTTAAGAATATTTTTTATGTGAAACGTGTTTTTCCGCATCAGATTTTAGTCAAAGAATCCAAGAAGTTCATTTTAAGGTAACATAAACTTCATTTTCTAAGAAAAATCGTGTGTCAGGATAGTTCACCGAAGCCAAAAATGCATAAAAGATAAATTTTATAATAGAGGTATTGAAATTTAGAAAACGTCAACATTTGACCTTTCCAGTATTTTTTTACCAAACCGTTCCGTATCAAACCGATGTTTTCCAGGAACCGCTCTTTACCGTAGTTAACGAAATACAGTCTTACATTCCAAATTTTGTTTTTTTATCTAAAAAAATAAAAAAGTTATACCATAGTGGGTGAGCCACTTTTAAGAAATACCCGGTATAAGCTAAAAAATAGATACGTGTATTACGGGGTATTAGAATAATTAATAACACTTAACAATTAAAACTAGATAAAACTGTACTTAAAATACTCACTTGAGCGAAAGCAACAAAGAATAGTTGTTTGTGGTTCAGGGATAATCCGGGAAGTTTCCTAGGCTCCGGTTTGCTCTCCATCATATCCAGGTAAGCGTGATAAGCCGCCTTCAATCCTCCATTGTCCGCAATATTTTCTCCCAAAGTCTGGTTACCATCTACATTCTTATTGTTTATTTTATATTTGTCTAGAAAGAAAAAAAAATGTACCTATATACTTTATAGTCTAAGAGCTGGCTACATAAAAAACCTTATCATCGTCACATGGCTAATTTTTTGTGTGAAGTATCCTTTTGTGTAGCCATCATGAAATAGTCATGTCTGCCAGCGGGCAGACATGTCGGCCCGGGGCTTAAAGCGGGGGCGGCCAATCGAAAGGGTGAAATTTTGACACTAAAAATATTATAAGATACATGAGTTATTATTGCGAAAATAGCTTTTATTTATTATTAAGAAACGTGGAAAATTGTTGGCAGACATTTTTCTAGTCGCTAAAATGCCGACAGACAACGCGAAAGAGGCATGAAATTTTAACAATTATTAAAAAATGAAATTTGAAGAATGAAAAAAAATCTGGCATATTTGCATGCCGATTGGTGAAATGTCATATTTATTTATTTTAAAAGTCGTATGCAAAAGGGCAGACAAAAAGATCGTGGCTCAATCAGCTGCAGACAGTTTTCAAAAGCGCGATATTACTCGCTGTTGTTATTAGCGCTGTATTCAGGGAACGCTGGCCGCATCATCCGTTTAAGTATAGATAAATCATATAATATACGATTATATTATAAATATATTTTTTTATTATTTCAATAACGATTTTTTTGTCTGCCCTTTTGCATACGGCTTTTTAAATTAATTAATAATAAACATGACATTCCACCAACCGGCATGCATGTATGCGATGATTTTCTTTCGTCAAAATTCTATGCCTCTTTCGCGTTGTCTGCCGGCATTTCAGCCACGAGAAAAATGTCTGTCAACAATTTTACACGTTTCCTAATAATAAATAAAGCTATTTGGCAATTATAACTCGTGTACCTTATAATATATAATAGTGTCAAAATTTCACCCTTTCGATATATAATAGTGTCAAAATTTCACCCTTCGGCCGTCCCCGCTTTAAGCCCCGGGATCGCGCTGGCAGACATGACTATTTCACAATGGCTGCACAAAAGGATACTTCACACAAAAAAATAGCCATGTAACGATGATAAGGTTTTTTATGTAGCCAGCTCTCGGTCTATTACTTTTGTCTAATTTGTCTTACATCGAAAAATAATAAAATGATTTGGCTGTTTACAAAACGTATCAAAAAACAAAATACCACGTGAATCTGATAAAATTTTATATTGGTGAAACATCTAAGACCTTTAAATATTCGAATTAAAGAACATAAAAATTATTTAAGAAAGGGCGATTTTCGTAAATCTAAAGCCCCGTTTACACGGTCCGTGGTCCGACGAACCTGTCACGACGAACCTCGGACCGCGGACCGTATTAACATAGGCGGTTCGCTGTGGCTCGCGGTCCGTGATCCGTGGTCCAGACGGTCCCGTCGGTTGTCGGTAAAATTTCACGGAACAAAGGAATGGACTGTGCTGTTCCGTGAGGGTTCGTATTGGCTCGGCAAATTACGGACCATTGTCCAAAAAAATCCTTTATGGGTATTTCGCCACTGCACTGCAAGAAAATCTACAAAATAAAATAGTTAATTTTTGTAAACACTTCTGCGTTAAACCTAAACGGACACTGCTTTTTCTATACGTCAACGGTTTCTTGTAGACCTATCTGTTTTAAAAAAGTAAAGTGTTCTCGAATAGTTGAATTTAAATATTTTAAATAGTTTTTTTCTTTATTCTTTGTATTTTTTTTTTGCTTCCGACGACGGAAAGAGATAAACTTTCCAAAACGTTAAGCATTTTCTTCTTTGTTAAGCAAATTTGTATAACTGTAAACATAATTTCTGACAAGCAGTGTCCGTTTAGGTTTAACGCCAGAAGTGTTTACAAAAAATAACTATTTTATTTTGTAGATTTTCTTGCAGTGCAGTGGCGAAAAAACGTCCCATAAAGGATTTTTTTGGAGAATATTTATTTTGTCGGACAAAGGTTATCATAGTTTTACAAATTGATGAATGTAGTTGTAAAACAACTATACTCAGATGCAAAAAAAACGCAACGGAAAAATTTTTGATCAAATTTAAAGTGTTATATTTTTGTTATTTTTAGCCCTATTTTCATTATTTTTTTTTAACAAACTGTGTATAATTATATCAACTTTAATTCGTAAACTAAGTTTTTCATAAACTTTAGTATTTGGCATATTATACAGGGTTAATCGAGGGGTTGTTTTTTACCTTAAGTTTAAAACACCCTGTGCAATAATTTCATGTGTAAATTTTCCTAAAATATAATTTTACGGTCATGACCATGACTCCTGAGCATTTTGTTTTCGATTCATGTCAATACATCCTTTGGTTAATTTTTAAGAACGAAATGAACTGATCACGATCAATTTGCAATTTTTTCAATTATCATTACACTTTGATGTATTTTTTTAATATGACGAGATGGTTTTGGCTACTAATGCCGTAATATCATATTACGCTACAATCCGCTACATTGGATACTTTATACTAAATTAAAAAAAAACGTTTAGGACTAATGATACACTGCTAGTTTTAATAAACATTAATAACGGTAACAGAACTAACGATATAAAGAAAGCATCTGTAATACTTAAGTATACAAACAGAAAAAAAATTGTAAAAAATACCCTAATACTTTGCATTGCTTCCCTTGGGTGCAATAACTGCCTGCATACGTCCGTTCATATTATCATTGAGGTTGCATATATCATATTACGTTATGATTTCCCATTCTTCTTTAAGGACGAAGCGAAAGACAGCGACAGGCATTTCCAAACGTCGAACATGATGGGCAGTTCATAGTAGTATATAATTTACAATATTCACCAAAGCCGGCTTGTCATATTGAAAAATAACTTCAAAGAGAAATGATAACTGAAAAAATTGCAAATTGTTGGTGTTAAGTTCATTTCGCTATTAAAAATTAACCAAGGCATATATTGACATGATCCAAAAAACAAAATGCTCTGGAGACATGGTTCTGACCGTAAAATTATATTTTAAGAAAATTTGCACACGAAATTATTGCACAGGGTGTTTTAAAGTTAAGGTAAAAAAACATCTCCTCGATTAACCCTGTATAATATGCCAAATACTAAAGTTTATAAAAAACTGATATTGATTGATATAATTATTTACAAGTTGCTTAAAAATACATGAAAATAGGGCTAAAAATAACAAAAATACAACACTTTAAATTTGACCAAAAATTTCTTCGTTGCGTTTTTTTGCATCTGAGTGTAATTAAGTTATTATTTATCAACCAGTTGCTGAGAAGAATAGAAAATTAATACTCACTGTATTGTTCCACAACACATTTTGTTCTCTCTTTGAACCTATCCACGGTCTTGTTGTTCCACCAATGGTTCAGATTACCGTTCTTGTCGTACTGTCGGCCCTGATCGTCGAACGCGTGGGTGAGTTCGTGCCCCATGACGACGCCCATGGCTCCGTAATTGAGACTTTCCGGAAACTGCGGATCGTAGAACGGATTCTGCAGGATCCCGGCCGGGAAAACCATCTGGTTTTTCGTCGGAGTGTAATAGGCGTTTACTGTTGAAGGTACCATACCTAAATTGTACAAAAAAGTTATAAATATCGTTGGTTTTTGTGGCAAAATAGTATTGCTCGGTTAATTTTGTTACCAAGACGGAATAAAAATTGGTAACCCTAAATTCTAACTATAATTTGACTGAAACTTTCATTGTGTGATAATAAATTACTTAAATGAAAACTACACTCCCCAACAATAAATTCCAGTATTATATCAATTCAACAATTGCAACGATATTTTTTTTATTATTTAAAAATTTACGCCCTGTGAAAAACGAAAACGGTGAAAATATACATATGGCCAAAATTATTGCATATAACGATATTTTTATTTTATTTTGGACCTAATACGATTCTTTTTATATTTTTGGACATATTGGCTTACTACACGACTAACTAATATAAAATTAAAAATCTAAGTGCAACTAGGCCGTTATTATAATTTTATTTCATAATGAGTAAAAATCAACAAAAACAAATTTCATTTTAAACACAAAATATTGAAAACAATTTTAATTATTTCTCACAACTAATAGTCTGTATTTTTAGTTTAGTTCATATTTAGGCCTACACTAAAACTAAAATCATAACAAACACAGATGAAAACATAACAACCAGAATAGACCAAGAAAAAATAGAACAAGTTGAACAGTATATATATCTGGGACAAATGATTAAACTGAAAAAAGAAAACCAAACAGCTGAAATAAAGAGACGAGTAAGACTGGCCTGGGCAACATTTGGAAAATTAAGTTACATATTAAAAAACAAAAGATATCTACAGTACCTCAAAACCAAAGTATATAATCAATGTACTCCCTGTACTTACTTACGGATCCCAGACCTGGACACTGACAAATATGGATAAGGTAACAAAATCTCAAAGATCTATGGAAAGACAGATGCTACATATAAGGCTGGCAGATAGAAAAAGAAATGAGTGGATCAGAGGAAAAACTAAAGTAAGGGATGTTAGAAGTGAAGTAGCAAAATTAAAATGGAAGTTTGCCGGTCACAATGTACGACAGAAGGATGATCGATGGAACAAATGCATCGTAAACTGGAGGCCCTTGGAGAATAGAAGAAGTAGAGGAAGACCCCAGATGAGATGGGCGGACGATCTGAGGAAACATGCAGGCACAAGATGGATGAGCACGGCGACAGAGAGGGAAGAGTGGAAGAGATTGGGGGAGGCCTATGTCCAACGATGGACCGAAGAGGCTGAATAGATAGATAGATAGAATAGCCTGTATTGCTTCCTCGAGTCTCAATGCAAGCTGTGAGACGACGTGGCATGCTCTCAATTAAGTTCTCCAGAAGATGTTGAAGAATGGCTTCCCATGTTTCGCGCTCAACAATTTTCAATTCATTTAAGGTACGGGGGGGATCATTCCTTTTGGCAATATGGCGTTTTTGTATGTCCCAAGCATGCTCGATCACATTCATATCTGAAGACATCGGTGGCCATTACAGTTTTCTTATACCCTCTTCCTCACAAAATTCGCGAACCGCTTAAGTGCGATGGGGAGGAGCATTATCGTCCATGTAAACAAATTCATCCCCCACTGCCCCTCGAAATGGACTCACAATAGGCTCTAAAACGTCTCTAAGATATGAGGCACCTGTCATTGTGCCTTCAATAAAAACAAAAGGAGTTCGAGCTCCATGCATTATACCTGCCCATACCATAATGCTTCACCCTTGAAACGAGACGCGGGGTTGAGCTGCATTCAAGCGTGCTCGTCTTCCAGCTGCTCTTCAGACCAAAGCTCGTAGCGAGTCTGACACTAGGCCTATTCTTGTTTCATCACTAAACATGACGAAATTCCAATTAAGTCCATTTGCTCTCACCCTCTCAGCCCATTGTAGTCGCTGTAATTTTGTGCTGTAACTCTGTCATGGAGTCTTCTTGCTATGGTCTTTACCCTAGTATCCTACAGGCAGAAATCTACGCTATCGAGAGATGCGTACAACTTATCTTAGATAGGAACTATCGGAAACAAGAAATAGCCATCTTATCTGATAGTCAAGCAGCGTTAAAGGCGATCAACTCAGTATCAATCAATTCGAAATTGGTCAAAGAATGCATAGAGACGCTGAATAAATTAGGCAAAGAAAACAAAGTCCTCCTACTCTGGGTGCCTGCTCACCAAGGGATAGAAGGCAATGAAAAAGCAAATAATCTAGCTAGGAAAGGAGCTAACACTCCACTAACTGGACCAGAACCGTTCTGCTTTCCAAGTGGTAACCAACTCAAGGCGGAACTCAAGAACTTGGAAGATTCCATCCGCAACCTGGAATGGAAATCTTGCAATGGTCTAAGACACTCGAAGAAGTTTCTGAGGGCTTATGATCAAGAAAAATTACAGATCTTCCTGGGTCTGAGTAAGAACAATCTTCGATTGTCACGGGGTTTAACAGGACACTGTCTCCTCAATGAACACCTCAGTAGATTGAAACTAAGAAGAAACGGCGAATGCAGATTCTGTTGGGAAGATGGTGAAACACCAGTACACCTCATCACTGAGTGCGCCGAGACGACAACCATTCGTGCCATGAATTTTGGTACGACTGATATTGGAGATGGAGAACTACCCTCTATAAAACCGTCCCAGATACTGGCTTTTGTCAAAGCCCTGGGACTGTATGATGAGTTATGATTCAAGAAAGAGGGACACAATGGATCTCTAAGGTCGAAGTGATTAACCCCCCTCCCACTCATTCTAATTCTAATTCTAAATGGTCTTTCTTGAAACATTTACTCCTTCAAGGCGAGCTAACTCATTTTTAATAGCAGTACTAGAAAGCAGCTAGGGGATTGCGTCGTGCAATTAGGGATATTTGACGGTCTTGCACAGCAGCAGTAGTAACTCTCTTTCTGGCCGGTCTGTAATCTCGTTTGTCTCCCTAATTTTTTTTAATATTCGCGAAACATCGTTTTGGTTATCTCCTACAATTTTACAACAATGTTACTATTCTGACTCTATTACACTGTGAAATAATGTTTCTAGGCATTTTAAGGCCAAAACAATGGTCAAATTTCTTCTAAAACCCAAGAGACCAAAAATCGAAATGTGCAAGAATTTAAGTAATAATTAAATTAATAATTTAATTTCTTTGCACAATATTTTAAGTCAATAATCATCTTTTTAAGAAAAAATACCAATTACATTATAAGAAAAATTATTTTTTATGCAAAATGAATCCCTTTTTACTTACACGATCGAAAAAAAACGGCGTCAAAGAAGGCTAGGGAATGACAATCGATAAAATTTTAGTAAGGTCAAAACCTAGACGCGATTGCTTGGTACTCTTATTTATGTTTTAATGGAACTTACTATCAGCTGGCCTTATGAAGGTTGTAATTTATTTTTATATTGAGTAAAAATGATTTTTAAGTAATATATTTCAAAATTCGAGAAAAAATAATTTTTTAGTGATAGATATGTGTGTCTGGGAAACGTTTTGTCCTTTTTCGATCTTTTTAAAATGAGTGTTAATTTTAGTTTTTAGTGGTATCATACTAATTAATTACGAAAAAACGGTATGAAAATGTTAACAAAAGGTACAAAACTTCATTCGATATTCGTCGCCATCAAAAAAATGGCGTCTAAGGTCACAAATTCTGCTGCAGCCTGTATATGGGCGTTATACATGTCCTTATATCAATGACTAAAGAATCCAGGGACAAATAACACCCGAGAGCAAACTGTGACGATGTCACCCAACAGTGCCGTGGCACATATTTTTCTTAACCTAGCTCTTTGAAGCAATATTTATATTTCTTGATAATTGTTTTGACTACGCCTATTGTGTATCATACTAATTAATTACGAAAAAAGCGTATTAAAATGTTAACAAAAGGTACAAAACTGGTATCGACGTATAGCACATATCAAGTACATATAGATGTTAATTGAAATTGAAGAATAATTATCGAATTCAATAAGAAAACGCTAAAAAGTTGGAGTGGACTGCTTATTTACCTATGAAACGTAACTCCTGGCTCTTTCTTATCTCTGCTGCTTTTACACTTGAAAGCTGAATAACTAATCACCATTGTAATAAAGTTTATACAAAGTTCACTACACACAAACCAGAAACTATTAAAAATCGCTAAAATTGTCGCTGCATGGTGACCAAATGATGACTCATTGTTTGTCATCAAAAGAATGGCCTCTAAGGTCACAAATTCTGCTGCAGCCCGTATATGGGCGTTACATGTCCTTTCTTTAGTCATTGCCTTATATTCTTTAGTCATTGGTTAACTCTTTCATAATAAAAAATACAACTCTAATACAAAAGGAATAAGAAACAAACTATATAATCACCTCAACCCAATATAAATATGATATTTAATATTACTACAAAATATGTAGTTTAATAGGGAGTTTAGGACAAGTGTTTTAAATAAATTTTAAACATTACTTTGGAGTTATGTTATTCGATCACACTTTACTTGTAATATGTATTTATATCATACTTACTCCACGTAGTTTTGTTCACGGGCTCGTTGATTTTTTCCAAATTCTTTTTCAAATTGTAAAAAATAATGTTCACGTTATTCTCAAAGTAAGTTCCAGGTCCGATATTTAGGTTGTCAAATCTCTCGTCCAAATGGTGAACGTCTTTAATAAACTCTGGATAACCTAAAAGTGTAGGAAATAATAGAGATTTCTGTTAGTTTTCACAATTAAAGTTTTGCTAATATTATTTCCATAAATTAAAGGCATTTTATTATTGGCTAATTAATATATCTATAGATTCTTGATGCCGGGCGGCAACATCTAAGGCAGCAAAATAAAACACTAATTCACCTAGGGTTTCTATTAAAGGCTTTTGGAAATTCCGGACAAGTGAACTCAGAAATCCGGACAAATGATTTATAAATGAAAAATTATTTATGAACTTTTATAGAACGTAAATAATAGCCCCGGATTCCACAAAATACAGGGTGTTTCAAAAAACATGTGCCATCTCTCGTGGGGAGATTTCTCACATAAAAATAACTTAGGTCCGATTCTGCTTTGTTTCGTAGCTACAGGGTGTTAAATATAATAATAATAATATTTCGATTTATTTTATTTTTCTTCCAAGTACTTTTAGCGATTCGAATGAAATTTTGTGGGTAAAAGTTACTATAAGTGCTACATATTTTAATGCCAAAAAAGTGCCGATAAATTTATCAGGGACGTGCATATGGGTTATCACTGGAATATTTTTCAAAAAAAAACATGTGCACCACCGACTTTTTTTCTTTTGATATCGAAGTTGTGTAGGCCGTTTAATGCCAATTAAAAGTTATCTCTAGATATTTTGTCGAATTCGGCCTCCTTGATGAGATAAACGCAATTTTATTAATCACAATTAATAAAATTAAAATAAAAATAAAATTTAGAAGTTATATATTTTACCAAATTTATTATTAAAGATTATTATTATTAGTTATTATTACTATTAATCCAACCTACAGCAGTTTCAAATAAAAAAAATAATGGTATTTAAGATAATTACAAAAAAACTAATTTTAAAAAATTTTAACATCCTGTTTTCAAATTCATGTTTATAGGAACTTTTTTTCGTATTTTTTGATGAAGAATCAATGAGTACTTATTTAAGACTTTCGCAAGTTAATGATATTAAATTTTTTAGAGGTTGCTATTAGACTTGGATCAAGGCAAATTAAAAAAATTGCGTTTATCTCATCAAGGAGGCCGAAATCGACAAGATATCAAGAGACAACTTTTAATCGGCATTAAATTGCTTATACTATTTCTCTAACAAGAGAAAAAAGTCAGTGGCGTACATGATTTTTTTAAAATAATATTCCAGTGATAACCCATATGCACGTCCCTGGTGAATATGTCGACACTTTTATAGCTTTAAAATATGTCGCATTTATAGTAACTTTTACCCTCAAAATTTCATTCAAAACGCAAAAAGTACTTGGAAGAAAATTATAATAAAACGAAAATGTATGTTGATATAAAAAATTAATCTTATTTTTACGTGAGGAGTCTCCCTACGGGAGGTGGCACATGTTTTTGGAAACACCCTGTATAAACCAAAAAAACATTCACGTTCCAGGAGTGCACCAAAAGCGAAAAAAATGAGCGCCAAAGTATAGAAATGGGTACTTTCGAACATGCGTCGGTTAAGTAGAGCTGTAGCATCGTAGAGACTAAAATATTCAACAAAGTAACTGAGAAATTAATTTAACGCTCTAACTGTAAAATATTTTACTAAGTTAAATTGGTTTTGCGACCAGGTTTCCCGAACGCTTTTCTGTAATATAAAAAAATAATTTTACCTATCATATCTGAAATGGCATCAGCCTTGTCAATGGCCACCTTCCTCGTATCTTCGTCCATCCACTCCAGATTTTTAAAGTTGCGCTTAAAGGCGTTTCTAACATTGTTTATCATCGTCTCAGCTTGCTCCTTCGAATCCGGATTGAATATTTCTCGAACAAAGATCGCACCCAAAGCAAAACCTGAACCAAAAAGACTGTATTATACATAGAAGGATTGAGAGCAAAAGTTATTTATAGGCACCTAAAACATTGTTGGTGTCTTGTATGCAATACCTCCATTGGGGTTCCTCGCCACCATCCGACCCTGTAAGGGCCGTTTTGAAACCCTTGTAAGCGTCTCTAAATGGCTTTGAAAGACATAAAGTGAAAACTCTAATTGTCTGCCAAACAAGATAATTATTCAGGGTGCTGAAATGAAAAGAGAAACTGTTAAAAATAATTCAAAAAAAAATCCTGTTCCAAAATCCACAATAGTTATTTTATTACTAAATCTTACTTGTTTTCTAACTTAAAAAATTGATGCATAATTTTTCATGTTTTTTTTGTCTGGGAACATTCGTGCGCAGTGCAAGTAATTATAGAATGTTCAGCGATCGTTCAACGCTTAGTGATGTGTCGGTATTTGAGTCACGCAATTCTGGAGCGGTATGTTTTGTAACGTCGTGTCGCGCTCCACAACGAACAGGAACCTGTTACTGAAGAACGACGACAATACTAACGACAAAACTATAAATTAGTTACAGTTTGCAAATAAATTATTCATAATCGCTCCTGGAGTTAGCTCGAACAGCAGTAACCGCATAGCGCCAGTGTTTCACTACAGCCGTCGCGCTCCTAGGTTCGCGATCTCTTCGGTTGCGAACAGCAGTAACTGGAATTGGTACGTAGCGTCGCGCGATCTCGACTGTCGCGAAGAGATGTTGGATGTTTGTAACGACCTTGTAACGACCTATACCGCCACGTACTTCGCTCCAGTGCCAGTGGTCGCGCGACTGTTGAAGCGCTCGTAGCGTAGTGTCGAGTTTCCGTCGGTCGCGAACAGTGGGAACTTGAACTGGAACTGGTAAGTACGTAGTGTCGCTGTTGGCGTTGCAGTCGTTACGATACTTTCGATATCGCGATTTTCGGTAGGTCTAGGTACTAGGCATTTTTGATTGATATTAAATACATGTTAGGTACATTAGATAGTTAGAAATAAACACATTTACACAAAAATAAGAAAAAACAAAGAAGAAATATGACCGAAAAATAAAAGAAATTTATAAACCTACTTTCAATTTATTAAAAATATAATCCCAATTAGAGTTATAGTCTGCAAAGAAAGAGAATTACATTTTACTAACATACTGGAATAAAGTAAGACTGATTTTACTTTGATTATCTGACATGAACATTTTACTTGTAACTTTTCCACTAATAAGGAATATACATAGATAAAAACATACATAGACACGTAGATAAAGAACTATAGGTTACAAAACGGTTACAAAATCACGTTATTTGTCGCGGTATTTCTCTGGAACGGTCGCTATTGTAACGCGACTGATGTGGAACCGGTATTCCATCACTATCAACGCTTGTTCAACGTCACGTCATATATTGTCGAACTCTCTCAATCACTGACCATCCAGATGAAAGAGATTGGTGACGTCATTACGGGATTTCGTAAATTACATTAATTGTCATTGTCATTTGATTTGGGGTTATAATTTTATTGAAGGATATCGATCAATGTCAAAATTAAAATTTGATTGTTGCTGTAATCTGCTCTAATAGTATATTACATATTGTGATTACATACCGAGGAGGGAAGTGTTTCATTACTGTCAACAGATTAACTAAATCTCGAGACAGTAATGAAAACTTTCCTCCGAGGTTTGTATACGATTTTATTTACAACCACATCATTAATTAAAAAATAGGGACAGTATTTTAATTTGAAAAAAAAATAAATATGCGAAAATTTGTCGTTTTCTCTTTAGGCATTTCCATATCTATATTTACCGGTACCAGTGGTTGTTATGGCGTAAACCAGGCGCATACCATAGCGCAAACCTTCAACAGCTAAACAATAACTAAGTGACAGTTTTGAATTTCTAGTTCACTTTTTCGAATTTATATAACATAGAAAGCCAGAATGTTGTCGGAAATTTCTGATAATGAAGACTATTCTTTAATATTGGTACTCTAACAGAACTTACAACAGCTGCAAAAAGAGCAGAAGCCAGTTTACTTCCAGAGAAAAGTAGGGGGAGATATGAAATAGCATTGAAAGTATACGAAAATTGGTGTGCCGAAAGAAATGCTAAGAATATTGCTTCGGAGACAGTCTTGATGTCTTGATTATTTTCGTGACATGGCAAGGCAGAAAAAGCCATCTTCTCTTTGGGCTACGTACAGCATGATACGGACAATGCTAGAATTAAGGGAAAGACTGACATATCAAAATATCACAGACTCGTCGCTTTTTTAAAACGCCAAAATGTATGTTTTAAGCCAAAGAATCTAATAGCATTTTACCTTCAACAAATAAATGTATTAAAATCTTCAATTATTATTGTTAATCTTCTTGTTTATTTTTGTTGATGTTAGATAAGTATTTAATAAAGATATTACAAGAATATTTTGCTCTTACATCATTTAATTAAATGAGGTGAGAAATAAGAAAAACCGAGTAAGGGAATGGGAAGAGGGAAGAAAGGTAGATAATTTGACACTGTCAATTTTTTTTAAAGTCAGTAATGTCAGTATTACATATGTGATTGTAAATAAAACAATAGTATATTAAACAACGAGTTTCGAAAACGACGTTTTGCATTTGCACACGAGTTCAACCAGGGCCGTATCTAGACCAAAATTCTAGACCAAACCAAACCAAACAAAAGCTGTTAGGAAAAAAGCATAATAAAAAAATCGCTTTGGGCCACAATCAAATCTTAATTGAAAATAAAATTTTAAAAAAGTAACAGGTAAAAATTATTAATCTTAAAGGATAAACTGGGTCTTTTCCCTGGAAAAACGATTGACTACCTCTTCGATATCGATATTTATTTCTCTATGTACGTTTAATAGAGCAAGTCCTGGAGGTTAAAAATGTTAAAATTGACACATGTTGTGTGCACTAAGAGTAAGCGTGCGCAAAGATTGCACACTAAAAAATTTGCGCACGGTGTGTGAAAAACGTCACTTTCGGATTGACTTTAGCGTGCGTTTTTTAACGTTTTACATAGCAGTCGTAGAAAAAATTCTTTTTATCGCAAAAATGCCTCAAAGATTTAACCAAAATGAACAAGCTAAGCTTATAAATTATTTTTCTCGAGAAAGAGACGCCGGTAGAACACTCTTTTCTCGTGGACCCCGTATATTTAAGTACAATGCAAAGATGTAATATTCGTATGTAAGATACAAATTGATAGCGTTTTTAAATAATATAGCGAGTTGCTGATGCTTTAGGAATAGAAATTCCAACAGTCCAAAGGATTGTAAAGCATAAGAGGATCGTAACTGATAAAGAGGTAAAAAAATGAATAAATGCCGAAAAAAAAACACGGAACTCGCTCGATCAATAATATAGGGACGCACTTTAAAGTTTCTAAAGAATATGTACTGATTTTTCCAAAAAACATCCTTTATAGGTATTTCGCCACTGCACTGCAAGAAAATCTACAAAATAAAATAATTATTTTTTGTAAACACTTCTGCGTTAAACCTAAACGGACGCTGCTTGTCAGAAGTTATGTTTATAGTATACAAATTTGCCTAACAAAAACATCACAAATAAGACTACATATACCTTACACTACACAGAGAAGTATAAACATATTAAATAGGGCTAGTTTAGCACTTTTAAGGGAAAGAACTCAATATCATAGATATCTCATTTTTCAAATTAAAAATGAAATAAATTTTATTTCTAACGATATAGAGATGATAGTTTCAAACATAGATTTTGCGCACATTCTAAATAGCGCACACAATAGCTATATGTATCATTCTAATATACAAAAACAAAAACATATTACTAAATTTACACACATGAATAATGAAAGAAATATAAATCAAAATATTACAAATAAACACGAATTTATTAACAAAACCGTAGTTAACCTTTCTAAAAGAGTTTTATCTAACTCTGAAAAATCAGTTTTATTAAAAGGTTTAAATTTTAGCGTAACTAATAAAAACGTTTCAAAATTAGATTTGGCTTCTGCTATTGAAAATATAGCACAAAAATTACCTTTAGAACACGCGGATGAATATCGTGTTAGGTCAAAAATTATTCTAGAAAGACCTATTAAGTTTAAACCTAATATTAATAGAGAAGAAAGGTTAGCTATTAAACATTTAAAAACAGACAAAACAGTTAAAATATTACAAGCAGACGAAGGTAATGCTACAGTAGTTATAGATTTAGACGAATATAATAACAAAATTACAGATCTTATAAATAACGATAGTTAGACCAAACTTTCAAAAGACCCAAAACCAACTATTGAAAGAAAAATATACAGAACTTTATACAAATACAAACATATATTAACAGACTTACAACGAACATTATTAACACCCCATTACAGTAAACCACCTCATTTATACGGTTTACCGAAAATACACAAACAGGGTATACCTTTTAGACCTATAGTCAGTAGTATAAATTCTCCATGCCATCCGTTAGCAAAATGTTTACTAGACATATTAAATCCGATTGCAAATAACACCAATTCATACATTAAAAACACACCACACTTTATAGAAAAAATTTCAAAAATTAATATACCAAAACATATATACAAAATTAAACAACTAACAGTTTAATGGTTAGTTTTGACGTTGTTAGTCTTTTCACTAATGTGCCGGTAGATAAATCACTTAAAATAGTAAGGGATAGATTAGAACAAGATACACATTTAATAGATAGAACAAAATTAAACATAGACAGTATTTTGGAATTGTTAACACTTTGTGTTAAAACTACTTATTTCCAATTCAATAATGAATTTTTTCAACAAGATTTCGGTATGGCAATGGGATCACCTCTCTGTCCTTTGTTAAGTAATATTTTTATGGAAGATTTTGAAAATAATACAATAAATAGTTTTTCAAAAAAGCCTGTAATATGGCTGCCTTATGTTGATGATATTTTTGCACTATGGCAACATAACGTTTCTGAAAGAGACATTTTTTTGGATTATATAAATTCTCGCGAACCTACCATAAAATTTACTTTAGAAATAGAGAGAGGTAATCATTTGCCATTTCTTGATGTTTAAGTGTCAAAGTTTCAAAATAAACTAATTTTAGATGTTTACAGATAATCCACAAACACAGATAGATACTTAAATTTCACATCTAATCACAGTATAAGTGTAAAGAAGATGTTATAAAAAGTTTATATGATAGGGCAAAAATAATATGTACAGACGACATTTCACTAAAATAGAGATATAAACCACATAAAAAATACATTAATCAAAAACGACTATCCACCATATTTTATTGACAAAACATTAAACGAAATACAAACCCCAAATCATAGACACAATGATACCAATACACAGTATATACAACTTACAATTCCATACATACGAGGCGTTTCGGAAAAAATAAGAAGGATAGGAAAACAATATAACATACGAACATCTTTCAAAACACAAAATACACTTAGATCCATTTTATCACATACTAATCCAATGAATACAGAACAACAAAAAAAAATGTGATATACCAAATACCCTGTGAATGCGAAATATTTTACATTGGTGAAACATCTAGACCCTTAAATGTTAGAATTAAAGAACATAAAGATTATTTAAGAAAGGGAGATTTTCACAAATCTAAGATTTGTCAGCATTCTTAAGGACACAGGGCAAAAAGAATAAAAATTTTAATAACGCCAAAATTATAATGAAAGAATCGATATCCTTAAAAAGAGAAAAATAAAAAGGCTTTTTTAATAAACAAGATAAATAAACATAACATACGTAAAATTAAAAATAATCAGAAAGTTTGGAGCTTTTTGGTTTTACCTTATTAAGTAATTGTTATCAGGTAGTAATTGTTAATTTTGAAGTTTAAATATTAAGTTAAAAATGTCATTTTAACAGAACGTCAACGGTTTCTTGTAGACGTATCTGTTTTAAAAAAGTAAAGTCATAGTAAAGTGTTCTCGAATAGTTGAATTTAAATATTTTAAATAGTTTTTTTCTTTGTTCTTGTATTTTTTTGCTTCCGACGACGGAAAGAGATAACTTTCCGAAACGTTAAGCATTTTTTTTTTGCTTTGTTAGGCAAATTTGTATACTGTAAACATAACTTCTGACAAGCAGCGTCCGTTTAGGTTTAACGCAGAAGTGTTTACAAAAAATAATTATTTTATTTTGTAGATTTTCTTGCAGTGCAGTGGCGAAATACCCATAAAGGATTTTTTTGGAAAGATGAATCCGCCACATAGGTATAGGCATTTTTTAATATGTACTGATCTCAGACACTCCCTAAAACTCATATTTGACAAATAATGATGACATAACGATGAACGATGGCTGAACAGCCTTCTAACGAAACCTTATTTCTGAAACCTTATTTCAGAAGATTCATAGTCTCACTCTAATATCAACCAGTCTTTCCAGATTTAAACACTTTGCATAAGACCAATTTATTATAAAATTAACAAGAAATAAAATAAAATAAAATTAGAAAATTCCATCAAGTGACAAGTGAAACGTCAAAGAAAACTGTTAGAAAATGGCGTCTTATGATGTCGATTCGGTCTCTAATGGATGAATTTAAAAATAGTATTAGACTCCTTGGTCACTGGTCTCGTACTGTCACTGCAAAGATATTACATAAAAGTTCTTACATTTTTCCTTCATTGGTGTTCTGATATTCCTTGATGAGTTCGCTCAAATTACCAAGATATTCTGGAGCGTATATTACGATTTGCTGTTTAGAGCTGATCTTCTTCTGAACTACTTTCATTGCGTTTTCGAAAAACTGTCTCCAATCTATCTGCAAAATTCTCCTTATTAACACTACATATTTAAGATTCTAATTATTACATGGCATTTTATCATTAGTGATATTGGATAGTATAGTCTGTCCAACGAGCGAGAGAAGATTTCTTTATGGTAGAAAAATGAAATATAATACAAATTGGCTATGAATTACTACTTTAAATGACAGACATAACTATCATTGTCAAGGATCCTCCCGTTGAACAGACACAATTCAATGTACTCAATTAAAACTACAGGATTGTTCACCACATACGACGGGGAGTATTGTAGCTAAACGATTAGATTTTTACAAATTGTAAGTTTTGGGTTCGTTGACGAATCATTAGAGCTACAATTTAAAAATATTTTAAGATACAGGGAGTCCCAAATAAGTAAAAAATATTATAGTTGTATTTTTTTTAAATGGAACACCCTGTATATTATTATATATTAAATTCTACGATTGAAATAAAGGGTAAATTTGATATAGGTAAGGTTTAACACACTTAAACCTTACCGTTTTTGAAATATTTTCAATTTAATGAAATTACAATAAAAATTTTAAGGCTTCAAAGGTTTCTCCAAAGGTACCAACATTTTTAATACTAATTATTTACTGATGTTTACTTATTTGATCAGATATTGTGTTGCAATAATAAACAAAATACTACCTTATACAGAGTGTCTTAAAATTTATATTAAATAATTACTAATTACTATTAGATTTAAAAGGCAATAACTTGGTTAATTTAAATGCAACACTCTGTATATTCTACAAAAATCATATACACAACTTAATTGTCTGTCAAATTGTATTATATTATTTTTTACCTATATCTTCAAGTTTCCGTAGAAAATGCATTTTCTTATAATTTAGACCTCATTTATCACTCTACCCATTGAATATTGACATTTTAGAATATTTTTAAAGATGTAATTTCATTAAAATATAAAATAAACTATTTAAATATTTTTGTTATAGAGGGCCAATTAATATGATCCCAGTATTCAAATACATCAATTATTGACTATTTACGTTGATTAATAATAATTGCTCCAAATACTAAAAAACTGAATTTTGTATGTGTATTAGACAGTGTGGTAAAAATTAAGACCTTATAAATTTTATTTTATTTTTTGAATGATTATTTATAACAACAGAGACGTTCATTTTTTTATAACTTATTATTATATTGATTTCTGAGTCAAATGCACATTTATTTAGAATAATTTATTAATTAAAACAATTAAGTCATGTACTTGAATAATTTTTGGGTGGAAATAATGGTGATAAATTTAATTGGTATACTCTTTAACAAATATTTAAATAGTTTTTTTTGTAAACAAAATTTTCCAATATTATATTTACCACCAACAAAGAAACATTTTGTACATATATGTTGCTTTAAAAAATCTAAAATGTCAATATTCCATGGGTATAGTGATAAATGAGGTCTAAATTGTAATAAAATGTATTTTCTACGAAAACTTCCAGAGATAAGTAAAAAATGCTGTAATTCAATTTGATAGACAATTAAATTGTACATCTGATTCACGTAAAATATACAGGGTGTTCCATTTAAATCAAGCAGGTTATTGCCGGTTAAAGCTAGTAATTATTTAATATACATTTTTGGACACTCTGTACAAGGTAGTATAATTTTTATTATCGCAACACAATATCTGATCAATAAGTAATCTTCAGCAAATATTTAGTATTAAAAACTTTGATACCCTTGGAGAAATGAAGCCTTAAAATTTCTACTGCAATTTCATAAAATTGCAAATATTTCAAAAACGGTAAGGTTTAAGTGTAATAAACATTAATCAAATTTACCTTTACTTCAATCGTAGAACCTAAAAATAGAATAATATACAGGGTGTTCCATTTAAAAAAATACAACTATAATATTTTTACTTATTTGGGACACTCTGTATCTTGTAAAATTATTTTTAAATTGTAGCTCTAATAGTCCTTCAACGTACACAAAACTTACAATTTGTAAAAATCTAATCGTTTAGCTACAATCTACAATACTCCGTGTCGTATGTGGTGAACAACCCTGTATACACTCACAAAGTCAGATTTCTCTTGTAACTCAGCTAATGTGGTCAGATGATACAACGATTCCTCGTCTCTTCTCAGATCGCTCGGTGTGGTGATGTTGGCAAGTCTCGTCTCAAATTCAAGCACAGACTCCATTTGACTTCTGGTCGAGTTCAGTTCTCCACCCAAGAGCACTCCGAACTATTAAAATAAATAAAAAAGAATTATAGTTGGATTAAAAGGAGAGATAGCAACCCTCGTTATCCTATAGGCTTGGTGCATTTAAGCTGATTTCAAAAAAATCCGAGCGCATCAGCGCTGCATACGACAGAAATCAGAAATTTTCGCTATGAGCTCATCTTGATCGCATTGATCGATAATAGTTAAGTATTTTAGTTTTTTGCTAGGGCAGTTATTGAGACTATAGAACACTCAGATACGAGGTTTGTGTTATATGTAACACTGTTTCAGGTAGTAAAAAATAAGTGAAAGTAAATCCGAACTAGGCGTCGCCGTCGGCGTCGTGTTGTGATATGACAATTTCAAATGTTAATAAAATCGCCGAAAAAATGTTAACGCGTAAGCTTGATTTTCATGCATCCGTTATACGTTGATACAATGGTCCGACGGTCTGATTGGTTATAGCGTTTTCGCGCCACTTTTCATCCGCAAATATTTTATTCAGCCCGTCAACGGACCCGGTCATACGATAACACAAAACGTCCCCCTGTAGAACTTCGTCTGCCATGTTAAGAAATGAAAGTAAATAATAAAGCGCCTCTCGTGTTTGTTCGCACTCAAAAAATTTCAATTAATGCCTGTATATATTTTTAATATATTTTTTAAATTTACATTTTTTTAATTGAAAAGTAATATAGTACATTTAAATGGAATATATATTACATAACAATTATGTTACTGTCAATTACAGGATTACAAGCTTGTTTTCTAACATTTTTTAAATAAAACGAATTATAAAATTTCAATATATGTATATTTGTCGTAGGTATGAAAAAAGTAAAATATAAAATGGACAAACGCTTACTTCACCTTGCAATAAAACTTCCACTTTTAGTTTTGCAATCCAAACGCAATATTTCTATTTTACAAAGAAAAATATCCGACAACACTAAAATCACTGAAACTTCCGCGGCAGACAACGAAAACTGAAAAATATAACGACACTTTTTGTTTTGGACCTGCATATCAACATTACGCTGTACTATTATATATTTATTGTTGAAATAATATAAAATATCTAATTATAACTTGTAAATTTTAATATTTTAACATACTATAACTACTTTTGACAATAACTAACTCCAACTAACTCACAAAACATCCCCCTAGAACTTTTTCTTTAATGGCCATAAGCGGGAGTAAAAGCCCAACCGCCCGAACAAACACTAGAGGCGCCACCGGTCATCAAATGGTGTAAAAATTGCGGAAATTTAATCATCTAATTTTGACACAAGGGGTCGCGCTTAACTTTTTCAATTTTAATTCAATATTCATTGTTTTCAAACTATATTATTAGACTTTGTTGTATTTTGTGAATGTATAAATGTTTTTTTAGTATAAAGTTGCATTATAGTAATTTAAATTATATAACATACATATTTAAGTTTCAAATATTATGACATATATGTCAGTTGCCGTCTAAAATGTCATCTTGATAACAAAAAGTTAGTTATTGTCAAAAGTAGTTAAAATCATGTTAAAATATTAAAATTTACAAGTTGTAATTAGATATTTTATATTATTTCAACAACAAACACATAATAGTACAGCGTAATGTTGATATGCAGGTCCAAAATAAAAAGTGCCGTTATATTTTTCAGTTTTCGTTGTCAGCCGCGGAAGGTTCAGTGATTTTAGTGTTGTCGGATATTTTTATTTGTGAAATAGAAATATTGCGTTTGGATTGCAAAACTATAAGTGGAAGTTTTATTGCAATGTAAGTAAGCGTTTATCCATTTTATATTTTACTTTTTTCATACCTACGGCAAATATACATATATTGAAATTTTATAATTCGTTTTATTTAAAAAATGTTACAAAACAAGCTTGTAATCCTGTAATTGACATAATTGTTATGTAATATATTCCATTTAAATGTAATATATTACTTTACAATTAAAAAAATGTAAATTTAAAAAATATATTAAAAATATATACAGGCATTAATTGAAATTTTTTGAGTGCGAACAAACACGAGAGGCGCTTTATTATTTACTTTCATTTCTTAACATGACAGACGAAGTTCTAAAGGGGGATGTTTTGTGAACTAACTTTTTATCAAGATGACATTTTAGACGGAAACTGACATATATGTCATAATATTTGGATCTTAAATATGTATGTAATATAATTTAAATTACTTTAATGCAACTTTATACTAAGAAAACATTTATACACATTCACAAAATACAACAAAGTCTAATAATATAGTTTGAAAACAATGAATATTGAATTAAAATTGAAAAAGTTAAGCGCGACCCCTTGTGCCAAAATTAGATGATTAAATTTTCGCAATTTTTACACCATTTGATGACCGGTGGCGCCTCTAGTGTTTGTTCGGACGGTTGGTCTTTTACTCCCGCTTATGGCTATTAAAGAAAAAGTTCTAAAGGGGGATGTTTTGTGTACGATAACGGACGTTTTGACACTTTTTTGACAAATTTAATCTAAACTTAATAAAAATATAAGTAAAATAGCAAAATCGTTATGGAAACGAAAATATAAAATGACACCAACGTATATCCGATAAACGGAGGCATGAAAATGCAATAAATTTAAAAACTGCGTTATTTTCTAACCAATCAAAGTCTTTAAATTCTACCAATAAAATTAATATCGTATCAACGTATCGTCGGACAACGGATGCATGAAAATCAAGCTTAAAGGAGAGCGTAATTAAGGCGTTGTTGGGTGCAATAACATTCAATAACTTAACTTTCCCGGATATTCAACTCTCCCGAAACAACATTTTATAGCTTCATCATTTCTTACACCTATTTGATCAAAAGCAAAAATGGAATCAAGCAGTTCGACGAAACAAGTTAGTAAACAAAGTGCTCTTTACAAAATCAAAAAATTAAATAGACAAATATACTATGAGAGGATAAAATATAATTTCCAATATTAATAATATACTTTTTTTAACAACTAGTGATTAAATGTTTTATAAACATCTTCCAAAATTATAATTATGTACCTTTAAAAAATTTCGTTATAGCCGAAATAGCCCCAAAAGTAAGTATTACCTTGATCATGTACTCCAAGTATGCATCTAGAATTTTTACGTGTTCTTCAGTTTTGTTTAAATAATTGTCCCTAGTAGGTAAAGATAATCCACTCTGATCCATTTGTAACACGTGTCTACTAGAATTCCTGTCATCTTCTCCCACAGCATAAGAAAACAGCGCTCCAATATTGTACTTATTTTGGACCAGTTGAATTGTATTTTGCAATGTCCAGTCTAGAAGGAAAGTATAAAAAAAATAGTTATTTACTGTATCGTTTTCTATTTTAGTTTTTAAGTTTTTGAAAAGGTAATTATAGACCTTTAGTTTGTCAAATATAGAATGATAACATACGATCGAAAAAAAACGGCGTCAAAGACGGCTGGGGAATGACAATCGATAATAATTTTGGCGAAGTCAAACCCTAGACGACATTACTTGGCTCGTAGGTACTCTTCTTTATCTTTTAATAATCCATACTGGCAGTTGGCCTTAAGATAGTTGAATTTATTTTTATATTAAGTAAAAATGATATTTAAATGGTGTGTAGTTTAAAATTCAAGAAAAAAATTTTTTTGGAAATAGATTTGTGTGTCTGGAAACGTTCTATACTTTTTTGAACTTTCTATAATTTGTATTAATTTTGACAAGTTTTAAACGATGTCTAGAGATTCACCTCGACAAAATAACCATTGATTGTCATTCCCCAGCCGTCATTGACGCCGTTTTTTTTTTTCATCATACGCTATTTCTCGATTCAACGCGTATTTATAGATGTTTAGTTTGTATCTACTTGTCATCTGGTGGGCTTATAGTGACGACAGTCTAATAACCCGAAACACAATATTTTTATGTATTATTATACAGAGTGTTAAAAAAAATAGTGTACCTAACTTGGTGGGTTATTCTAGAGATAAAAATAAAACAAAAAGTTTCTATGAATACTTCCCATAAATGCTTCCCGATGAAATAACAGCTCTTGAAAGGTTAAATAAAAATAATATATTTTGTTTATTTTTAAGAACATTGGTAAACTGTTTTTGTGGCTAAAAATTGTGGTCCTCACACACATTTTAATGCCAAATCGAATGGCAATAGTGTAAAATTGCGTAACAGTCCTGAAAGAAAATGTCATTAGAGTAGAGAGTACTACTGGTAGTACTTCTTGTATCCGTATGAATACAGTAATTTCAATAAATGAAAATTAAAGCTAGGGCTTTTTTATGTAAAAAAGGTGTTCTTGATTAGTTCGAAACGGTGAACGGTTTTCAAGATATTTGCTTAAGGTTCCGATGCATCGATTTTAGCGTTAGTAAAATCAGGAGATTGATTTATTTAAAATATCTTTACATTTTATCATTTCACTAAAGGCTCATTTACATTCGTCACTTTGGATGTACAACTTGGATGAATCATCCAAAGTGATAAGTATAAATTGCCTTTCATAACTGTTTCATCCAAAGTGTACACTAAAATTGAACGATGAAGCAAGTTGACGGTCTTCCTACTTTTGTTGAAAGAAGCGTTCAACGAACCGTTGATTTCGATGCATACGAGGTTGAAGCACAGGCATATGCGGACGACCTGGTGATCCTAGTAAAAGGACACAAAGAGGAGGACATCTCCTCAAAAATACAGGAAATCCTAGATGCAATTCACGGCTGGTGCACACTGGAACAATTAAGTGTAAACCCACAGAAAACCGTGATCATACCATTCACCATGTTCAATTTGGATGAATTCAATCTGAGTGATTCATTTTGGTTGTACATCCAAAGTGACACAGTGTAAACTCTGCTTAAACGAAGAGTACCAGTTTTACGTAAAAAAAGTTCTAGCTTTTTATATTATTTCTTAAAATTACTGTATCTACACTCAGATGCAAACCTTGCTTGTAGAAATTGTAGAAATGACAAATATTGTAATATTTGAGGGGCGTTTTCACCCTCTTGGAATTTGAGATTCGAGAAACCCCTCCTTATCGAACCTCTACACCCCACAGTCAATCCGTTTGCCAAAAAATCAGCTTTAAACGTCAAGCAGTTTAAGCAGAATCGTGATTACTCAATGGTCATATTTTATGAAATACCCTGTATAAATTTATAAAAAATCTTAAAATATGTAAAACAACAAAATAAAATATAGGTGTTTAAGAGTTTTTCCGAAAAACTCACCGGTTTTAAATAAAAATAATTTAATATTTGAGGAATAGTTTCACCCCCTTAGAATTCGAGTTTCGAAAAATCCCTTCTTATCGAACCTCTACACCCTAAAGTCAATCCGTTTTCAAAAAATCAGCCTTTTACGTCAAGCGCTTTAAGCAGGATCGTGATTAATCAATGACTAGATTTTTCGAAACATCCTGTATACATTTTTAAAAAATCTTAAAATATGTAAAAAAACAAAATAAAATATACGTGTTTAAGCGTTTTTTCGGAAACTTGACCGTTTTTTAAATAAAAAATATTGTAATATTTGAGGGGTGGTTTCACCCTCTTGGAACTGGAACTTCGAAAAATCCCTTCTTATCGAACCTCTACGCCCTAGAATCAACCTGTATACCAAAATTGAGCTTCTTACGTTGAGTGGTTTCAGCAGGATCGTGATTAATCAGTCTGTCAGTCACTTAAGGATTTTATATATTAGTATAGATTGCTGAAAAATTCATAAAAATAGGGCTAAAAATAACAAAAATATAACACTTTAATTTTGACCAAAAATTTTTCCGTTGCATTTTTTCTGCCTTTGAGTGTATAAGGATAAAAGACGTACCACCATTAGTACTCTCTACCATAATGGAAAATACTCTTTCTGGGCTGTCACGAAATTTTTCACAATCGTCATTCGCTTTGGCATTAAAATGTGTGTTAGAGTACCAAATTTCAGGAAAAACCGTTTACCAATGTTAAAAATAAACAATATATACCGTAAACCGGGGCTACTTCGAAGAGCACGGGTAAATTCGGACAACAACGGGTCCTTGAAAGAGAAAAAAATTGAAGGGGGTAGCGAAATCATCAAAGCGGCCGCGTGTGGACTGGAACGTGTTTAAAACAGTTGCCCTCAGACGTTTCTTAAGTACCGAGTGTTTTTCGGGCCCGGCGTATTTTTTACGTCAATTTTTGTAAGTATGCAATTTTTGTTGTTTTTTTTAAAGTGGAAAAAGTAACGGGAGTACAACTAACCTTTTATTCATAAAGTCGTACTTTTTCCAGTATTCAGTAGGTATATTATCTGAAAATGTTTTATGTAATTTGAAGATTTTTTTTAATCTTAATGTAGAATCACCCACCAAAGTTAGATACACTATTTTTTTGACACACTGTGTATCAGCCTTATGGTTTATCGGAAAGTACTTACTGGCAAGACTAAACCCACTTTCGCTAATATTCCAACCACCTAACTTTCTAAGTAATTCGAGCACAGGTCCCGCTCCACGGCTTTCTACGGTATCGTTGCTATCCAGACATGATTCGTAATAGATTTTCGCCTTTTTCTCCGCCTTAGACTTGAATGTTTCTATGGGTTGTTCTGTAAATGGATAAAATACGGTTTTAGCACAGCCCATTTAGTACCAGCCAGCCAACTTATCCTTTTAACTTGCAAAATTTGGAAACCTATATAGATATTCGATTATCTTTTTTGTAACAAGACGATTTCAAAGATAGACATGCATGTATAAAAGATAGACTAATCAATATTCATTGATTTATTTTGTTGACCCAACATACTAGCCCTGGTCACTTCATCTGCGTGGTCTGTATATTAAAGCATGCGACAGCGATAAATATAAATGACCGGTTGACAGAGAGAGAGAGACAAAATAAAAATAAAATATTTGAAAATCTTTCAAGTATGCTACTGAAATGAAAATAATATATATAAGCTAAATATAACCTACTAGTTGAAGCCTGGCGCATCCGCCACAACATCAGGAATTTTTTTTATTTTTGTTTAATTAAATGAAAAACAAAAATCCGGCGACGACAGTTTTTAGAAGAGCCAATTAGCTATCTTCAGAAAAAAAGCAACTTTCTAGAACAAGTCGTTACTTCAGGTAGAAACGACACAGATAAACATTAGCATTTTATATATGTAGATTACAGCTGTAGTAAAATGAGTAACCCCTAATTATTGTGAAAAATAAAGTTTGTGCGGTTTTACATTTTGAGGCAAAATCCAGCAATATTTCCATAGAAGAAATGTATCAACCCAACTTTATCTCTTTTAATACATTTGGATTACATTAAGCTATGTCGACATCACTGTCTTTACACGTTAAAATCCAGACCACGGACATGGTTCGAAGTTACAAAAAGCAACTGGGGAGTCGCCCCTACCAAAATTATTCACCAGAGAGGTTACAGCAAGCAGTAGCAGATGTCAAAGCCAAGCGACAAACCTTAAGAGAGGCGGCTGAGTATTATAGGATTCCCAAATCCACAGTTGGGGATAAAGTTAAGGGGATTCGTGATAAGAATCCAGGACGGCAACCAGTGCTGAGTATCGAGGAAGAGGCAAAGTTTTTGACTGATATTTTGAGAAATAATCAATCTTTTTTAATAAAAATGTCTTAAATAATGTTTGAAGTTATTAATTTTTTGAGTTTTTATTAAAAAATGAACTTCATTGTTTTTAAACTTATATTTTTGTCCGAAGTTTCCTTTTAACTGGTATAACATCAAATTTACACATTTTTAAAGGCATGTCCGCAGTTACCCCACCTATGGGGATAACTTCGGACACTCTTCAAACAAAAAAATATATACGTTAGAAAAAGGAAGTTTAACATTTTTTTTAGTTAGACACAGGGGAAGGATGTAGTAACCCACACAAAAAATATTGGTTGAATTTGAACACACTTAGGTCAAGAAACTTACAAAAAACCTCAACAACTGTCCGAAGTAGCCCCGTTTTACAGTATTATTTTTATTTATTTAACTTTTCGAGGGCTGTAACTTCTTCAGGAAGCATTTTAGGGCATATGTTCATAGGGACTTTTTGTTTTATTTTTATATGTAGAATCACCCACCAAAGTTAGATACACTATTTTTTTGACACACTGTGTATCAGCCTTATGGTTTATCGGAAAGTACTTACTGGCAAGACTAAACCCACTTTCGCTAATATTCCAACCACCTAACTTTCTAAGTAATTCGAGCACAGGTCCCGCTCCACGGCTTTCTACGGTATCGTTGCTATCCAGACATGATTCGTAATAGATTTTCGCCTTTTTCTCCGCCTTGGACTTGAATGTTTCTATGGGTTGTTCTGTAAATGGATAAAATACGGTTTTAGCACAGCCCATTTAGTACCAGCCGGCCAACTTATCCTTTTTAACTTGCAAAATTTGGAAACCTATATAGATATTCGATTATCTTTTGTAACAAGACGATTTCAAAGATAGACATGCATGTATAAAAGATAGACTAATCAATATTCATTGATTTATTTTGTTGACCCAACATACTAGCCCTGGTCACTTCATCTGCGTGGTCTGTATATTAATGCATGCGACAGAGACGAGAGAGACAAAATAAAAATAAAATATTTGAAAATCTTTCAAGTATGCTACTGAAATGAAAATAATATATATAAGCTAAATATAACCTACTAGTTGAAGCCTGGCGCATCCGCCACAACATCAGGAATTTTTTTTTATTTTTTGTTTAATTAAATGAAAAACAAAAAATCCGGCGACGACAGTTTTTAGAAGAGCCAATTAGCTATCTTTCAGAAAAAAAGCAACTTTCTAGAACAAGTCGTTACTTCAGTAGAAACGACACAGATAAACATTAGCATTTTATATATGTAGATTACAGCTGTAGTAAAATGAGTAACCCCTAATTATTGTGAAAAATAAAGTTTGTGCGGTTTTACATTTTGAGGCAAAATCCGGCAATACCGCATAGAAGAAATGTATCAACCCAACTTTTATCTCTTTTTAATACATTTGATTTAAATACATTAAGCTATGTCGACATCACTGTCTTACACGTTAAAATCCAGACCACACAGTTCTGATGACCAGATCTGTATATGTCATCAAAATGTAAACAAACCGTTTGTTTATTTACTGTTTGATTTGACTACAAACTTAATATAATCCTTTTTTAAGATTTGAAAATTCATTGATGTATTTTCAGTGCTTTCTATAAACCAGTAAAATACTGTTAAATACAGGGTGTCCCAATATTCCGTGGACATAGAACTACTACGTATTTTCGGCATCTAATTTCAAAAAAATTAAACACATTTTTTCAGATATTTTAAGAACCGTTATTCCGATTTGAATGAGATTTTGAGTGTCCGAAAAATGGTCCTTCTAGTATTTACTACATTTTTTTGTCTTTTGTAAAAAAAACGCCACCGTGCATACTTTTTAAGGAAAAAAAATTTCAAAGCTGACTTCCAGAAAATGTTTTTGTTCACATCAAGCTATGGAGGCGCATAAAATCTATTATGCTCTAATAATCTAATTGGCGAAAATATGAAATTTTATGTTAGTATCGCAAATTATATTTGACAATAAGCTTCATAAAAAGCTAAAAAAAAATAATAATTTGTACATTAATTATCGTTCGGGTTTATTTTTGATTGATGCCCCCTAACGAACAAACGAAGTACTTTTGTATAAAGGTAAATTATGTGCAATTAACTTACTTTGATCCAAACCAAACCAAAAATACGTAGTTGTTCTATGTCCACAAAATAGTTGTGTATCCACCTGTGTATTTTGTAGGTCTGCTTTGGAAAAATAAATTCTCCAAAATTTTTTTTCGAGAAGAGACAACAAATGTAGTCCTAGATTTGGCGATATATTCAGGGTATCCCAATATTCCGTGGACGTAGAACTACTAGAATGTAGAATGTAGATTGTTTAGGAGGGGAGTTAATCACCGCGACCTTACAGATCTATTGTGTGTTCCCATTTCTTGAGTTATAACGAGTTATAACTCATCATACAGTCTCAGGGCTTTAACAAAAGCCAGTATCTGAGACGGCTCCACAGAGGCCAGCTCTCCATCCTCGACATCAGCCATACCAAAGTTCATGGCACGAATGGTCGTCGTCTCGGCGCACTCAGTGATAAGGTGTTCTGGTGTTTTCCCATTTTCCCCACAGAATCTGCATTCGCCGTTGTTTCTCAGCTTCAGCCTACTGAGGTGTTCGTTGAGGAGACAGTGTCCTGTTAGAAACCCCGTGACAATCCGAAGATTGTTTTTACTTAAATCAAGGAAAACCTTTGATTTTTCTCTGTCGTAAGTTCTGGGGAACTTTTTCGAATGTCTTAGACCGTTGGAGGACACCCATTCCAAGTTACGGATGGAGTCTTCCAGATTCTTCAGTTCCACTTTCAGTTGGTTCCCGTTTGGAAAACAGAACGGTTCTGGTCCAGTTAGTGGAGTGTTCGCTCCTTTCCTAGCTGGATCATTTGCTTTTTCATTGCCTTCTATCCCTTGGTGAGCAGGCACCCAGAGTCTTTTGGTGAGCAGGCACCCTGAGGACTTTATTTTCTTTGCCTAATTTGTTGAGTTTCTCTAGGCATTCATTAACCAACTTCGAATTGATGGTTACTGAGTTGATCGTGTTAAGTGCTGCTTGACTATCGGATAGGATGGAAATTTCCTGTTTTCGATAGTTTCTACCTAAGATAAATTGTACGCATCTTTCGATAACGTAAATTTCTGCCCGAGGGATACTAGGGTAGGTGCCCATTGGTTAGGAGTATTTAGTTTTCGGCCCAAATACTCCTATCCCTGTCCCTGCTTTGGTTTTAGAAGCATCAGTATACCACGTTATGGTATGGTCTTTTATATGCTGAGTAAGCGTTTCTTCCTTCCAATCCAGAACTATTATGTATTTTTGAAATCAAAATAAGTTAATTGGACACAATTTACCTCTATAATACAAAAGCGCTAAGTTTGTTCGCTAGAGGATATCAAATTTAAAAATATAAACACAATTTTTCAGATATTTTAAGAACCGTTATTCCTATCTGAATGAGATTTTGGGTGTCTATGTTTTGGCAAGTGCTTTAACATTTGGCTTTCAGAAAAATCAAGAAAAGGTACGGGAAGGGTGAAAACTACCCCCACCCCTACATAAATTTTAGTATAAATATTTTCCAATTCAACCGACGCGACGACAGATTTTTTTATCGTAAAATGGCCCCTATTTTACGATAAAAAAATCTGTGTAACTGATGTAAAATATCTGAAAAATTGTGTTTATATTTTTAAATTTGATATCCTCTAGCGAACAAACTAAGCGCTTTTGTACTATAGAGGTAAATTGTGTCCAATTAACTTATTTTGATTTCAAAAATACATAATAGTTCTGGATTGGAAGGAAGAAACGCTTACTCAGCATATAAAAGACCATACCATAACGTGGTATACTGATGCTTCTAAAACCAAAGCAGGGACAGGGATAGGAGTATTTGGGCCGAAAACTAAATACTCCTAACCAATGGGCACCTACCCTAGTATCCCTCGGGCAGAAATTTACGTTATCGAAAGATGCGTACAATTTATCTTAGGTAGAAACTATCGAAAACAGGAAATTTCCATCCTATCCGATAGTCAAGCAGCACTTAACACGATCAACTCAGTAACCATCAATTCGAAGTTGGTTAATGAATGCCTAGAGAAACTCAACAAATTAGGCAAAGAAAATAAAGTCCTCAGGGTGCCTGCTCACCAAAAAGACTCTGGGTGCCTGCTCACCAAGGGATAGAAGGCAATGAAAAAGCAAATGATCCAGCTAGGAAAGGAGCGAACACTCCACTAACTGGACCAGAACCGTTCTGTTTTCCAAACGGGAACCAACTGAAAGTGGAACTGAAGAATCTGGAAGCCTCCATCCGTAACTTGGAATGGGTGTCCTCCAACGGTCTAAGACATTCGAAAAAGTTCCCCAGAACTTACGACCGAAAAAAATCAAAGATTTTCCTTGATTTAAGTAAAAACAATCTTCGGATTGTCACGGGGTTTCTAACAGGACACTGTCTCCTCAACGAACACCTCAGTAGGCTGAAGCTGAGAAACAACGGCGAATGCAGATTCTGTGGGGAAAATGGGGAAACACCAGAACACCTTACCACTGAGTGCGCCGAGACGACGACCATTCGTGCCATGAACTTTGGTATGGCTGATGTCGAGGATGGAGAGCTGGCCTCTGTGGAGCCGTCTCAGAGACTGGCTTTTGTTAAAGCCCTGAGACTGTATGATGAGTTATAACTCGTTATAACTCAAGAGAGGGGAACACACAATAGATCTGTAAGGTCGCGGTGATTAACTCCCCTTCTAAACAATCTACATTCTACATTCTAGTAGTTCTACGTCCACGGAATATTTGGATACTCTGTATATGAATATATCGCCAAAATCGCGACCTAGTTGCGCCAAAAATATTACAGTCACACAAGTAGGAATTAAATGACTCGATCATAAAATATAATACCTATCTACAGAAGAAATCGCTAAATAAGTGACAACCCTCTAAATTCCTGTGTACGGGGGTTTGTAGTTGTTTCAGGCAATCATTTGGTTTTAAATGCTAGTATTGAAGAAACAATGTAAAATATTAGATTACACGAAAAAAGTATACCTTCCTGAAATGTATTTTAAAGGCATCTTCCAATGTTTACCTACCCAAAACCTGCTTAATCACTAGCCAATTCTGCTGTTCCAGTTTCATAAAAGTTCCCCAATTGCTTTTGCCGTCCGGTATGGGATTGGCCTTGACCCATCCGTTGCAAGAATACGAGTAGAAATCTTCGCAAGGATCGATAGAGAGGTCCATGGCTTCCAGAACGTGGCTGGCTACGTGGACACAGGATGAGTTCAGGCAAGGCTGTTCCGCTTCGAATTTCAGTTGCGCTATCTGGAAATAAAACAAAAGATAATAAGTAATATAATTAATTAATCAATTAAATTAAATAATATAATTAATTAATTCAAGAACGGCTGGGCCGATTTTAATGATCTCTGATTTGTTTGATTCGTTTCGTCCTCGAATAGCAGAATAATTAATTATTTAAATATCAAAAAAATCACGGAAAAAAATGATATAGAAAATTAGTTTTTAAATAAATTAGGTTTAGAAAATAATTAGAATTTGGTTTCTTTTTTTCCAAAAAAATTTTGAGCTGTCAAATTTGACAGCTGTCAAAAAAATTTCAAAGTTTTCCGATTTTGATAAAAATCGATATATAGGATGGCCATGGGCTACAATGAAAGAAAAAAAACTGAGCTGTCAAATTTGACAGCTGTCAAAAAATTTTCAAAGTTGTCCGATTTTGATAAAAATCAATATATTGGATGGCCCCTACCCCCTACCCCATAGTCGGTTTTCATTTTATTTGTCTCACATTTGAACTGTCAAATTTGACAGCTGTCGTTTTTTTTAAGTTCTCCTTTTTTAATGAAAATCGATATACATATTATTAGGATGCCCATAGGAAGTTATTTAAGAAAAAAAATTGAGTTTAAGTGTGGCACTGAGAAACCAGGTTAACTAAAAAGTAGAAAATAAATTTTAGAAAAAAAAACTTTTTTAAAAACAAGCTTTTATTTAAATACACTAAAAAGAAAAAAATAAACTTTTTCTTTAAAACTTTTATTATGAACTTATAACGTCATTACACAATTTTAAATATTATAATGATATAAAAGCTTGTCGCGAGATTCCTCTACATCGATAAACAAGTAAATTAACTAAAACCTGTGTCTACCCTGTCTCATTTTCAAAGTTTGTGTTATGATAGACCACTAGACCAGAAATTATAAGATAAAGTTGTCGTACCAGATTTTTATGATTGCAACTGTACAGGGTGGACCATTTTGGTTGTTTCTATAGGGCATCTAGGAAACCGTGAGAAATATTCAAATTTTGATACTGCAGTCTCGGGTTCTTTTTTTGAAAAAATTACAATGGCGCATTATAAAAATATTATAATGATATAAAAGCTTGTCGCTAGATTCCTCTACATCGATAAACAAGTAAATTAACTAAAACCTGTGTCTACCCTGTCTCATTTTCAAAGTTTGTGTTATGATAGACCACTACACCAGAAATTATAAGATAAAGTTGTCGTACGAGATTTTTATGATTGCAACTGTACAGGGTGGACCATTTTGGTTGTTTCTATAGGGCATCTAGGAAACCGTGAGAAATATTCAAATTTTGATACTGCAATCTCGGGTTCTTTTTTTGAAAAAATTACAATGGCGCAAAAGGATCGTGGCTATCTTGATCGGTTTCGAAGCTACAGGGGGATTCTCAAATTTTGTACTTTTTGAAGATGTTCGATAGTTTGTTTATTTCAGCCAACCACGGAAAAATGAATTATACATTCTAAAGGCACTTTTCTGTGTGGAATGCAGTGGCGTAGTCAGACTTTTTTCGAAAAAAATATTTTTTGAAATATTAACTACCTATACTTATGTTTTTTAAATAGAACCCCCTGTATATTTTTAAATTTTCTTATTCAGCTTGGCATGGGCTTCTCGAAAATATATAACTCTCTATATTTATTTTCACTATTAACCTCAACATTTCAAATTTTTCTTAAAATATCCACTTAGTGGATAGTAGGCCGCGCCGAGGAACAAAGTAAACGGTTGTCATGGTGATCGGAACATACCTTTGATGGATGCGGAACATTTCATTTCAACAGATTGAAGTGTGTGTATTTTAAATAATAAAAAAATGAGTAAATTTGAAAATTTTGAGGAATATAATATGTTAGAATGTTATATTGAGTCTAACAAACATAAGCAAATGGCAGCTGATTTATATTTTGAGCGGTATCCAGAGCGCGAGCACCCAAACCCAGCCATTTTTAAAAGGTTAGAAGATAGTTTAATCAATTTTGGATCTTTTCAAAAACTGCGTCCCAAAAAATTATCAGAAAAAAGATGAAGAAAATCAATATATTATTGTCCTCGGAATTAAATAAAATGGAACAATACCAAGCAAATAAAAAATAAGTGTGACAGAAACAAAAAAACATATTTTAATATAAACTGAAGAGGTTACTTCAATCGGGCTTCTCAGTTAATATAAAAAAAATAAAAACACAAAGACTACATTAAATGTTCAGACTGCTGCCCATTATTATCTAGACAGAGTTGGTACTGTCTCCACACGCCGCCGCGCGCCGCCAACAGAATTTCAATAGCTCTACTTGATGTTAGATGTTACTATTTAGTTAATCTAGTGTTACGGCTTCGAAGACATTAATTGATTTTATTCATCTTCTTTCTGATAATTTTTCAGGCCCGGTTTTTGAAAAGATCCAAAATTGATTAAACTATCTTCTAACCTTTTAAAAATGGCTGGGTTTGGTTGTTCGCGCTCTGGATACCGCTCAAAATATAAATCAGCTGCCATTTGCTTATGTTTGTTAGACTCAATATAACATTCTAACATATTATATTTCTCAAAATTTTCAAATTTACTCATTTTTTTATTATTTAAAATACACACACTTCAATCTATTGAAATGAAATGTCCCGCGTCCATCAACGGTATGTTCCGATCATCATGACAACCGTTTACTTTGACCCTCGGCGAGGTCTACTATACACTAAGTGGATATTTTAAGAAAAATTTGAAATGTTGAGGTTAATAGTGAAAATAAATATAGAGTGTTATATATTTTCGAGAAGCCCATGCCAAGCTGAATAAGAAAATTTTAAAATATACAGGGGGTCCTATTTAAAAAAAACATAAGTATATGTAGTTAATATCTCAAAAAATATTTTTTTCGAAAAAAGTCTGACTACGCCACTGCATTCTACACAGAAAAGTGCCTTTAGAATGTATAATTCATTTTTCCGTGGTTGCTGAAATAAACAAACTATCGAACATCTTCAAAAAGTACAAAATTTGAAAATCGCCCTGTAGCTTCGAAACCGATCAAGATAGCCACGATCCGTTTGCGCCATTGTAATTTTTTCTAAAAAAGAGCCCGAGACTGCAGTATCAAAATTTGAATATTTCTCACGGTTTCCTAGATACCCTATAGAAACAACCAAAATGGTCCACCCTGTACACTCAAATCTTGCGACAAGCTTTTATATAATATTAAAATTGTGTAATGACGTTATAAGTTCATAATAAAAGTTTTAAAGAAAAAGTTTATTTTTTTCTTTATAATGTATTTAAATAAAAGCTTGCTATTAAAAAAGTTTTTTTCTAAAAGTTACTGAACCCATCTCTGCTAGACTGTTCAACAGATCACAATAATACGATTTTTCGATGAAGGTAACAAAAGCAAAGGCATGTTTTTAATTATTTAATAATTTAAATTTTATTTCATAATTTCTTAATTATTTAATAAAATAATTAAGAAATTACGAAAAAATGTTAGTGTTATCTTCAAAAACGAATATCTCAAAATAAAATAAAGCTATTGAGATAGACCAAAAAACAAACTATCGTGAAAAGATGTACCTAGATGATAAAGCGATTTTTAAATTCCTTGCTTTGTTAACAAATTCTACAGGGTGTTTCAAACTTTCACCAAAATTTTAACATTTTGTTTTCCCTCGTATAATTGACAGATGAGAACTTTCAGTTTTAATTTAGGAAGAGCTACTAAAAAGTCAAATAATTTAGCTACAAATTGCTTAAAAATTCATCAAAATCGATTCACTAGAACACAATATACATATAAAACTTTAAAATACATCAACATTTTAAGGTGAGTGTACTTATTATAATGCACAAAAAATATCAATATGCACATTATTTAAATATTAAGAAAATAAATGCTACTTTTTAATATTAACCAGTAACATCCTCGGATAATGTTTGCTATTATAATAAACCATTGCAGAAAATATCGATCCAGTATATAGCATATGTTAACCATATTGCACTCTAATAAAGATATACATTGTATTTTGATCAAACCATTATATGACACATATTCGTATTACTCTACTCAGTTAATTAATGCATATTATGGATTGATGCAAAAGTAATATCAATTATTTATTTTATATGTAATATTATTTATGGCAGTGCTAAAATTAAGTTCTGCTCTTGAGCTGTATTTAATTTATTTTATTAATAAATGCTGATAAAAACAATATCTAATTAGAGAGACTCTTTTTTGCTCATTTATACAGGGTGAATCTTAAATAAAAGCAAATATTTTTAGGGGTAGTATATTTCAACCCCAGAAACACCTCTATGAGTTTTTCTTTCGCGAAAAAAAATTTGAAAAATGTTTTGGATTTTTTTTTAATTTTCAGTTAAAAAACATAATATCTTTATAATATGACAACATAGGTAGTAGATTAAATTTACATGAAAGAAAACCCAGAAAATATCCAGTGGTTTCCCAAATTTAAGCAAAAAAATAGTTTCTTTTTTAAATTTTCAAAGTAAAATATCTCGGTATTTTGGACTTATTTGAAATCGTCGAGACTCGTCTGGGAATGAGGTCAGTCAAGTTTGCCCCCCGTATTAGAGGAAATTCAAAAATAAATATACCACTATTTTGCACACATTTTGCACACTTACTTAAGAGAAACCAGGGCCGTTTTTTAAACGGGAGGCAAACTTGACCGTTCCCCCCATTTGTTAAGAAATTGATTTATTTATATGTACATCAATTCAGCTAATTTTGCACAATTTTGCACACCTGTTTTTGAATTTTGCACACCCATCTGACGAAAGTTCTAAGCGGTTGAAAATTTGAAATTTCCCCCCCATCTGTCACGAAATTGAATTTTGTGTATATCAAACGAATCGGCTAATTTTGCACAATTTTGCACACCTGTTTTTGAATTTTGCACACCATCCTGATTAAAGTTATGAAGGTTTGAAAATTTGCAATTTCCCCCCATCTGTCACGAAATTGAATTTTG